GTGGGAACCATTACTGCTCAGGGGCTGGAGCAGCATGGCCCTTCAAGACCTAGTAAGGTCTGGGGAGCATTTCTTCAGCCTGCAGCAGTCACCCCATACATAGGCTGACCCCCTCCATGCAGCATGCATGGTCTGGCATCTGCTGCAATGCTGGGGAAGAGTTAATTCAGGCATTTGCAACTCCTGAGTATCTTCATGGAAAATCTCTATTAAAAGCAGCTCTGCAGTTGCATCAAAGCAAGCACTCCCACTCTGTGGGGATTGAGCACTTGGTGGTGGATTCCACGGGCATGGGCAGCCACCCAGTCCAGCCAGGCTGGTTGCTCTGCAGGCAGCAGTCCTGTCTCCAGCTGGAGCTGGAGATGAGCATCCCCCAGGGCACAAAGAGCCTCTTCCAGGGCTGGAAGACACCAGAGACCAGCCCAGAAAGCACATCTTGGGCAGGGCCCAGGCCAGGCCCTGCACTTTTTGTCAGACCCAGAGCTGTGGAGAGGCCCCAGCATCTCCCAGGCTGCTCTGAGCCAGCTCCAGTGTCCATCTTTCTCTCTCTCTCTCCAGGAGCCAGTGGTGTGGGCCGTAGCCACATCAAGAATGCTCTGCTCAGCAACAACCCAGAGAAGTTCATGTACCCACCTCCATGTAAGTACCAGCACAGGATGCATTTCCTCTCACCTCTTTGATATCCAGGACTTTCTGACAGCAGGTGGGAGGTGGGGAGAGGTTCTCCAGCATCACCAAGCCCCTGAAGTCAGGTCCCCACGTGCAAGGCCTCCCTGCCTGCAGTCCCACATGGACCCACCTTCTCCCACAGAGGCTGCAGGGCTGCTGCCCCCCACACACAGACACCTCACTCTTTTCATCCAGTGCCTGAGGTCCAAAGCAGGAAGCAGTTAGCAGGGGAAAGTAGTACAGCTTGATGCCTGTTCCACTCTGTTCCCCTCTCCTGGGGGCCAGCACTCACCCTCTCTCTCCCTCCCCAGACACCACACGCCCCCAGAAGAAGAATGAGGTGGATGGGAAGGACTATTACTTTGTCTCCACTGAGGAGATGACCCGGGATATCTCAGCCAATGAGTTCTTGGAGTTTGGAAGCTACCAGGGAAACATGTTTGGCACCAAGTTTGAAACAGTGCACAAGATCCACCAGCAGGACAAAGTCGCTATTTTGGACATCGAGCCCCAGGTAGGGAGCAGGGGAAGGGGTGGGTGGACAGGGGCTGCCACAGATTGCATTACCTGTGTGCTGGCTGTGACTGTCTGTGACTGTCCCTGCCTTCTCTTCCCAAAGGAAAAAGCCAGCAAGCCCTGGGGTGGCATTTCAGTTCCCAAGGCATGGGTTCAGTGAGAGTATTCCCTGTCCCAGCACACACCTGGCTGTGACACCAAGGCTGCTGTGGGAGTGGGTTGCAGGGACCCTGTTCCAGGAGTCCACCCATTGAGCTCATGTCCCCAAAGAGGGGTGTCTCCTTTAGCCCCCCTGCACCACAGTGCCAGCCTGGGGGAGGGCCACACTCTGCTAACTGCTCCCCTCTCTCCACAGACCCTCAAGATCGTCCGCACGGCCGAGCTCTCCCCGTTCATAGTGTTCATTGCCCCGACAGACAGGGCAGAGGAGGTGAGTGCCAGGTGTCCTGTCCCCCTCTGGATGGGCTTCTTGGGCCATGGCTGCAGCACCCCGGGGCTCCCCATCAGCGGATTCCTGTCTGCTTGGCTGCTGGTGGTCCAGAACTCAGCCCAGACCTGAACTGCCAGTTCCTGCACCCCCATCCCACAGCACAATCCCAGCGGGGAGCACAGCCCAGCAGTGGGGCAGGAACGTTTACCCTGCCATCAGCTATGCAAATAGACACACAAACAAGAGCTCCTTTCATTCTTTGCCTCATTAGGATGCTGATCCCTTTAACGTGAGGATGAAAGCAGCACTGATAGCGCAGTTAACTCATTCAGTGCCAAGCCTCAGGCTGGCAGCCACAGGCTGTCACTTCCCAGGAAGCCCCCTGGATGCAGGGATGCTGCTTACCCAGCCCTACACCCCAGCCTGACAGGGAGATGGGAAGAGAGGCCAACAGGAAAACCCAGAGCTGTGCTCCTCCTGGCCACCTCTTCCCACCTATTGTGTTAGTTAAGCTTAGGCTACAGATAGTTTGCAGGAGAGGATATTTATGCAACCTTCAGAGCAAGTGTTGTGCAGGTATTTAGAGGCACATTAACTGCCTGATGCAGCAGGCTGGGGAGGGGAAAAGGGGACAGATCTCAGAACAGAAAGGGCCACTCTGTCACCCATCCAGAGAGGAATCACATCCTGCTGCAGTGGGCAGGGCCAGCCCTGCTGCCAGGCACTAAATATAACCCTGCAGCTCGGCTCACTGAGGAGAGGGATGCGGCAGAGTTAATGTGACCCCGCAGAGCTCACGTGAGCAAAAGCTGCTGCTTGCCCTCCCTTCCCTTCTCCACCCCCGACAGCTGCTGGCTCCATCCACAATATGGGAAAAATTAATTTTGTAAGAACAGATGAATATTTTCAGTAACTCTTCAAGATGAAGGTAGCTAAGCAGTATTTTTTTTTTTTTGCCCCATGGGTAATAATTACATTTAAAGTTTGTCAGTGTTGAACTGAACACCTTAAAGACAAGCTTGCTATGCCCTGAGGGAGGGTGTGGTATTGCAAATATTACTCTGTGCCATCTGTAATGTTTTTAGTGCTGACCACTAAAGGAATCAGTATTGTGATATAAACCTAGGTGGTCTAACAAAAAAGAAGGGAAGGACATAAAAGACTGGTCTGATTTGGGTCTATTAATATATTTTTAGGTCTATTTAATATATTAATAATAGATATAATTATATAATAGATATGATAATTAATATAATCTAATAATACCCGTTTAGGTCTATTTAAATCTGCACAGAGCAGAGCTCAGCACAGAGCACTGCACCCCAAGCTGTCCCTCCTCCCCAGGCACACAAGCTGCCTTGTCTTTCAAGCTCCATTAGGGAAAGATGTGGAAATAGTCTGGACCTCCATGCCAGGGGCAGAGATGCCCAGGGATGCACTCCTGGGCTGTCCTTTCAAGCTGGGCAGGAGGGAAGAGGCAGCTTTGCTTTTACTACTGAAGTGCAGCACTAAAACCCCAGCCAAAAGCAGTGGAGAGGCTGGTAAAGCTCTGCCAGCTGGTGCTGTTCTGGTCAAAAGCCAGTGAGAAGGGAGCATCCTGCAGGGATCCCACCTCCAACCCAGCCTGGAGCTGGTGATAAATGCCCACCAGAGCACTGAGCAGCCTGCTGCTTGTGAACCTTCTCCCTGGGAGCTGCCACAGAGCATTTGAGAGGTAAACAGAGAGCCAGCAGGCCTGGCCTCGCTCTAGCAGGTAACCTGATACTCCCAGCACCACACCAAAAGCCCCAGACACCAGCACCGAGATCACACAACAGCTCCTGGCCCATCAGACGAGCTCTAAGGATTCTCTGGGCTGATGCTTCCCGAGCACTGGAGCTGTTTTGGTGTTGGGAGGGTGTTTGCTGGGCGGGGTGTGCTGAAGCTCCTGTGCTGTCCCTTGCAGTCGGAGGCTCTGCAGCAGCTCCGCAAGGACTCGGAGAGCATCCGGAGCCGCTACGCGCACTACTTCGACCTGTCCCTGGTCAACAACGGCGTGGAGGAGAGCCTGCAGCTGCTGCAGGAGGCCTTTGAGCAGGCCTGCAGCTCTCCACAGTGGGTGCCTGTCTCCTGGGTCTACTGAGAGGGCACCTGAACCCAGCCGCTTCCCACCAACCATCCTGCAGCCACTGGGAAACACCTCCTGAGCTCCCCCTGCCCCACACAGCCCAGCACAACTCCCCTCCTGCTGCTCCACCGACACACACTCACAGGGTGCCCACAGCTCCTCTCCTGGGGGAACAAACACGGGACAGAGGCTGCCTGGGGGTGAGCCACCTCTTGTGGCACTGCAGGGCAGGGCAGTGGCTGCAGCAGAGCCCAGGTTAGCTCAGAGCACAGCTCCCTGCCCTCCCCGGGCAAGGGAAAGCACAGTCCTGCTGTAGCACCCAGCTGATCTTCCCTGCAGCAGGCCCAAGGGAAGTGGCAGAACAGGGGGCTTTTCCAGGCAGATGGCTCCTGACGTGGCAGGAATGCACACAACTCAAAACCATTCCTGGAGGCCATGAGGCTTCAAGGAAGGCCATGAGGCTTCTCCCAGACCAGAGCTCCTCCATCCAAGAGTTTCCTCTCACAAACGGCGAAGATGATGAATGTGGCATGAGCACCCCCAGGCAGGCCTCACCCCATGTTCCCAGGCTGGAGTTTTCTCATTCACCCTGTGCAGCCATAGGTGTAAAAGCTCACTGTATTGGAATTCTCACCGTGCAGCTTGGATTGTTACTGCCTGTTGGCCAGAGAAACTGGGCAGCAGCTGAGCCAGTCCCACAGATGAAACCCCAGAGGGACTCTTCAATGGGTAAATTACATCCAGCCACAACTATCTGTTGCATGCAGTAGAAAAGTGTCTACAAAGATCATGCAGGCATGTTTTCCAGTCTAGGGTGTCTCTCACTGTATGCAAATACAAAAGCCATGCTCTCCCTGGGGTTTGTACTGACTCACAGGCCCCACACCACATCCAGGAAGTATCACCACATCCACCATATAGGTGAAAAATTTCATTTGTGTGTTCAGTCAGCTATAGGGGCAAGGGGAAGGTGGTTAAAAAGTCTTGTGCAATTTTTTTTAAGGATGCCAAAAATAAAAATCTATGTGCAATAGGGACCTTTGTTCTGATCCACTGCAGGGAAACAATGAGCAGCAATAAATGTGTGCTGAAACATTGCCATGGCTGGTGTTTTACCTCTCAGGCTGGGCACTGATAAAGCAATGACAAAGGCTCATCAACATGACCATTTCTCTGCTCCAGAAGCTTCTTCAGGAGAGGAGCAGAGGCTGGCTATGTGGTAAAATCTGCCCCATGAATGCCACTGACATTTTGGGAGGAGCCAAAGGAGAAAGAAAATCACCTGTTCAAAACGGGAAGTTTTATTTATTTTTTGTAAAAAAGAGTAAATAAAAATGGACCATTTTTTTTTTAATGTGCTCAAGTAACACCCACCAGCTGCTGTCCCCATTGCCTGCATCTCCAGCACTGGAGGGGAGGATAGACCATTAAGACTAAAGCAATGCACGAGGTTAAACCAACAGTTAACAGAATCTCTGCAGGGATGAAACTCAGAGCAGCCTGGGGTCCTTCCTTATTAAAAGGAACTAAATTCTGGCTCAGCACTACCCCTGTGACAGAGGAGAGACCTTCTGCCCTCAGAAGTCATTCCAGATAGGTTAGCAACAGATTTATCTGAAACCGTTCAAGCCCACAGCCAGTGCCCCTTGGCAGAGCTTTTCCTCAGGAGACTCCAGTCCCAGCAGCATGAAGAACATGTCATCACCTCCTGCTCACCTCCTGCCCTCCAGCCACATCCCCACCTCCAGCCTTCGGAGCACACTGGGCATCAGAACCAGGCCAGGAAACCAAAAGCAGTCCAACAAAGGGGTAGAGAAGAGCAAAGAGCCAGCAAAAGGGACACACTGCCCAAGTCACTGAGGCTGCTGGGCTTGGGAATCAGCACACCATGAACAAGCACGTCCTCGTGCTATAAGCAAAAAGGAGGAATTAAATTCTCTAATCCTTTCATGATAAAGGTCAAAAAAGGAGTGAAAAACAATCTGAGTGGACTATTTGTTCTCATTTAACTGAAGATGAAGCCAAGCATGTGGCCAGGTTAAAACAAAACAGTCCTTCAGAAATAAGTGATCTGTCCCCATGGGAATCCATTCACATGGGCTGTGACAAAGCCACTCCTCCAGGAAGCAACACATTCTTTAACTGTCAGGTAACAGCCTCAGCCTTGGGAGAAAAGGAAGAAAGAGGCAGTACATGAGGGGGCAGAAAGATTATTCCACCCTCACTAGGTGGAAACAGAGACCAAGGAAGAGCCAGAAAGTACAATTTCCCTGAAGATACCACTTCTGTTGGCAGCATGGTGCTCAGCTTTAGAGATCAATCCAGTGCAAGGACAGGCACCCTGCTCCTCTGGCAACCCTTAAAACAGGATGAGGAGGGGCACCTGAGCAGGACAAACACCCACTCACTCGTATAAACAGCAGAAAAGAACTTGAGCTTGCTGGCTCCTCTGCCATGCAGCCAGTCCTCTTCTCAAGGCCTAAAACTCCTCCCTCCTTACACTGATGAGAGTGCCTGCTTTGGACAGACCCAGCTGCTTAGTCCGAGCTCTCTTCTACCTCCTTCTGTTTCTTCTTCTTCTTCTTCTTACTGCTGCTCTCACTGGTCTGTGGAGAGGTTGGGAAGGTCAGAAAGCCATCAAAAAGGAATCCCCCACTGCCCATTTCAGTATAACAGCAAACAGTGCAGGCTCTCCATGGCACACTCCAGCACCATCCTCCCACAGGGCACCAGAGCACACAGGTGACCTGGCAGGAACCCACCAACTGTCCTGGGCCACCTGCCCTATCTCCAACCACCAGTTCAGTTTAAAATGCACCTCTAGAACACCCCTCTCTGCTGTGGAAAGCCTGGCACTCCGTGAACACACACTGCAGGCTGCTGCATTAATCCTGGAGGTGATTAGGAACAGACAGCAATCTCTGCCATGGTGGGACCACACCATGGCAGTACCCCATTACATACCCTCTCCATTTGTTCTCCCCCACTCTCAGCTGCCTCTTGGGCCTTCTTCTCTTTCTTCCTCTTCTTCTTTTCCTTTTTGCTCAGCTCCTCTGGTGGTGGGGTGGCAGGGGATGGTGGGGTCACAGCTTCCTCGTTTTCACTCTCGGAGTCTCTCTTTCTCTGTTGGGGGAATCACATTGTCAGACACACCAACACCTTCCAAGAGAGCTCAGGAGAGGGGAAAACTGACTGCCTGATTCAATACAACTTCATTTACCAACAGGGTGACTTGTAGACTCTCCAGCATACACTGTCTAGGATTTGCTTCTGCCAGAACTGACCCCTGTACTCCTCAGTGTTTCCTGTATCCCAAATATTAGTTTAAAACACTGCTGCACCTTTCCAAGGGCATGCAAAAACCCTGAGTTAGGGAATTTTAGGTGCAACTCTTGCATGGACATTTCTGCAGCTCTCTGTAGTCTCCAAAAAGGTTCTCTGGCACAACAAATCTCCGTTGTGGCTCCATACAATGTATTTTCTTGTGCTGTGTTGAAGAACATGCCCAGGGCCAGTAGCTTGGTGTCTGAGCTGCAAATCCTGCCTTGGGTGGTGGGAAATTGCTGGAGTCCCAGGAAAGGAACTGTGAATGGGCACTGACCTTGTGCCCAGCAAAGGGCATGGAAGGCCCTGGACTAAAAATCATCATTGGACCAAAATGCAGGTGCAAGGTATGTGCAGAAAATGGGAATAACAGGGACATAAAGTAAGAGCCAGAGAGCACTGGCAATACTCACCTTTGCTGCCCTGTCCACCTCTGAAACAGCTTGGTGATCAGCAGCTGCTTCTTTCCTGGAAGTATCCCTGAAAGAAAACATCCCAGTGTTGCACAGGACAGTCACTGCCTCATGCTGCTCTGGACTGGTACAAATCCCTGTCCCCTCACAAGGGTCTGTAACCCCAGGAGCTGGGGGGGAAGTTGGTGTAGGGGAGACCTGCAGCCTGCACCAGGGCCAGCTGGGCTGGGCAACAGCACGGCCTCCCCCATTTCATTTAGCAGACTGACTCCCTCTAAAACCACAGCAGGCTAAAAAGGGATAACTGTCTGCTCAGGGCCTTTCCTTCCAACACTGCCCAAGAGCAACAACTCCAGAAATGCAACTGTATCCCCACAGGCCAAGCTAACAAGATCCATGCACAAAGAGCAGCATCCAGCCCAGCCCTTGGTCCCCTCTGAACAACCCTGTGGGAGCCACACACCCAATACCCACCTGTAATCCACATATTCCATCTTCCAGGACTCTGGTGTGCTCTCATTGGGCTTTCCATGCTTGTCCAGCAGACCCTTCTGGATCATCATCTTCTTCTGACTGGCCTGAAAGCAAAGTACAAGTCAAACTGCAGCTCCAGGTAGGAAAAATCCTCCCTCAAGCCAAGAGGGCATCAGCTACAAGCCAACAACTACAGCATTATCTATTTACCACTGTTCATGAACCTTAAAACAAATGAGACAGAACATCCCCTGCACAGAAGCCTAAATCTCAGACAAGAGGCATCTTTATCAGTCAATAATGGCTAATTTTTGGGGGAGCCACAGCAACAGTAACACACCTGTACATCATGGAGTCTGGATCTTTGACTGGGTTTTTCCAGCTTAATGACCTGCAGCATTTGAGCTGGACCAATTGTTTGTGAGGTTTTGCAAAGGACTCCAAAATGCTTGAACTGTCCTGTATTACCTCACCTTTGCCACGTGAGAGATGTGTCGGCAGCCCCAAAGCTTTCACCTGAACCACAGGAATGGGATGAGCCACTGCAACTTGACACAGAGCTCTGAGTCCAACCTGCATCAGGCCAGCCTGGCTGCAGCTGAGCTACTACCACATGCCTGAGGTGGGAGAGGAACCCAGTGGGGTGTTCCCACTGCTCCTCTCCTTCAGGCTCAGTTTAGTGTGCATTTAAGCAGTGCTGCAGCAGAAAGAAAAGCAGCTCCTGCCCAGCCCCTCCAGAGCCATCAGCATGGGGTGATGGATGAAGGTCATCTTTGCACAGAGTGCTAATGCCATCCACTTCACATCATTTGGCTCTTCCCCAGAGGAGGGCTGGTGCTGCACAGATCTGAGGAGCCCATGCCTGAACACCAGCAGTGCCCCCCAGGCTCTTTTGGGAAGGAAAGCCTCACTCCCACCTACACTGGGCTGCCACAGCCCTGGCACTGGGAACTGCCACCATCATAGCTCCAGGAGACCACAGCAGAATTACAGCAAGACACAAGCACAGCTGTGCCCAAGGGTCCCAGAGCCCCCCATCCCAATGGCTGGGCTCCCACCAGTGCCCTGGGACCGACCCCAGGCCCACAGCAGCACTCACCTTGGGACCCAGCCCCCATTTCCGGGGGTATGTGTCTCTCTCCATGATCACTCTCTTGATCTTTGCCACAACACCATGGTCACACGTAGAAATGACTGCTGTGGTCATCAAGGCAATGGCTGCAGAAGCAGGCATGGAAGTCAGTAACTTCTGGAGAGCAGAACTGTGACAGCCTGTTCTGCCCCTATCAGCACAAAGACGAGCAACACCCCCCACCAGTGTCACCCCAAGGACTCACTGACTGTCACACAGCTTCTCTGAAGACCCTGGTTACAATGGACACCCTTTCAAGTCAAGCTGGCCATTGCTGGAGTCCCTTTGCACTGATCTACCAGGAGGTGTCATATGCCTGATGGCAGCATGTGATCAGACACCAGTGACTCGTCCCAGTGAGGATGGAGCCCCCAAAGAGGGCCTCCAACCCTGCCAGCACTGCTCCCCTCCTGCAGGCAGCCAGCCACACATCCCAGCAGCCCCCAGTAGGACACTGGCACACTGCAGGATGCCTGGAGGCTGCACAGCACCCAGAGCCTAGAACAGGAGCTGGGGTGCTGCAGGAGGGCAGCTCCACTGCACTCAGAGAATGGATAAACTGTGTCATCACCTCACACACAGCACACCTGAGCATCACACAGCTGCTGAACCCCTGGACCAGAACTGATCAGCCACTGCTTAACATCCTGCCCAAAACCAGCTGCCTTGGGCCCACATTCCCCATCAGGAAGCACTAATTAAACCTTGTGCACAGAGAAACTAATTTGTGGTGCCTTTACTGTCACACAGTCTGTTATTTCTGCAGTTAGCTGGACACAAGGAGAAGGAGCATTTCCTACCTAGGCAGATGGCTTCTCCTTTTGTGGTGATGACAACAATCTCCTGATTAAGCTCAATGCCATCCTCATACCGCAGAACACCAGGCAGCATGATCTTGGCTCCATAGCAAATGGCATTAACCTGAAAACGTAGAGAATGGGAGGGCTTAGAAGTTATTATGAGAATCAAAGTATGAAGTGTCTCTAATTTTTAGCTTCCCACTGCCATTATCATCCCAGCATTATCATCCGTAAGTAACAACTCATTTTTGTCCACTATATAAAACTTGGGAGCTTTGGAAGGAGAAAGCAAAGCACCTATCACAGCAAACAACAGGTGCGGCAGATCTCTCAAAACCATCAGCATCCTCCTCAAGTGAGGAGAGCAGATCCTGTCATTTAATTCATGGCTCCTGCATCTCAGTGTTGCTCTGGCAGCAGCCCACATGAGGTTCTACACAAGTCACCATCAGGACAGCACCAGACATCACATAGCTGCTGACCCCCGTGTTCTACCAGCTGCACAAGTCAGGGGACACTGCAGTGTCTGTCTGTCTGTCCCCTGGCACTGCCTCAGGAACTCACTGCACTGTCTTTCATGACGAGCCTCTTGTGTGAAGTCAGCAGCTTCTCCAGGGGCAGGATGACCCTTCGCAGGTAGCTGTCATCCTTGTGGTTGTCGTACTGCCACTGGGCGTCCAGCACATCGTGCATGGTCACCATGTTGTCCTGCAAAGGCAAATCCCCACTGAAACATGCACAGAGAATAGCTGAAGTCCAACAGCAAACAGTGTTTGAAAAAGGGAGTGGAACCAGATGCCCACCACAAGCATGAAAACACAACTTGAAAGAGGAAACACTTTCCATCAGCAGCTTGAGGTCAGCCTGGCTTGAGCTACCAGACTCTCACCTTCCTAATCTCAGACAGCATTTGGACCTACACTCTAAGGTCTGACCACATGAAACTCTTAAATATGATCTAACTTAAATTCCTGGGGCTCCTAGACAAAGGTTAGTGAGCAGAAATCTAAATTAACCAGCTCTTTAACCTGTGACAGGGAATAAATTCTGAGGCAACTGTGAGCACCCAACACCTGGAATTCATAAATGACCCAGTGATTACAAAGCTAAGAGCACAGATGGGTGGGGGAGCATTTGCACTCTGATACTGCTGCTTTGCAAAGAAATAAATTAGTTCTGGAGTTTGGACCAGCAGCAGGATCTGTCTATGACCAGAGTGAAAAGACTGTACAAGTGTCCAAGATCTCAAGACTGCACCTCCCAGGCCCATTCCAATGAACCACATTCCCTGAGCTGTGCTGACTCCAAGCAGCCACTTCACACTCCTGAACTCAAGGGACACTGGGGTCTGTAGGCTGAGAAACACAGGTGACATAAAACAAACTTTCAGCCACCACAGTGCACTTCCCAGTCACTCACTGTCCCAAAGTTTAATTACCAGAACAGGAGCAACATCCTGAACTGAACTCAACACTTTGGTTACAGACCATCCACACACAGCAACAGCTCCCACTGCCCGGGGGCCATTCACAGACCTCCTCCTAACACTGCAAAACTCAGAGTCCCAAGGAGCTGCTGCAGTTGTGACAGTTTCAAGGGGGCTGGCACCGTGTGAGGTGCCACCGTACCGTCTCTCCCAGGATGCCCGAGCGGACTCGGCGCAGCTCCTGCATCTGGCCCCCCACGCCCAGCAGCAGCCCCAGGTGCACGCACAGGGTTCGGATGTATGTGCCTGCTTCACAGCTCACCCAGAAGATACCTGAAAGGCACGACAGCACAAAGGGTTTTTAAGCAGAAAATAAACCACATCCTTCAAGAGAAGCTGTGTGCCCAGCCCTTCCCAGAGCCATCAGCATGGGGTGATAGATGAAGGTCATCTTTGCCCTGAGAGCTAATGCCATCTAATTGACATCATTTGGCTCTTCTGTGAAGGGTGCAGCAGAACAGAAAGAGATGGGATTTGCTTCCCAGCACACCAAAGAAAGGCATGAAGCAGTTACTGCTGGACAATGGGAGGATTTAGATCTTAAGACATCTGCCAAAAGCAGACACCCATTTCACAGAAAGATTTATTTTCACAGAAAAAAATGTTCACAAAAAAAATTTTTTTCACAGAAAAAAAGCTAATTTCACAGAAAATTTTATCAGTTGTCAGTTTTGTAGGAAGAAGGCAGGAAAGCCCTGTTTTACCTAATCTTCTCTCAGGATCATACTCCACCAGCTTGCTCTCGTAGATGGTTCTGACTCTCAGCTGTCGTTTGACAGCAGCAATGAGGGGGGGCCGCTGGAACAAGGCACCTGTCAGGGTTTCTATGGCCTGAGGGAGGAAGGAGAAGCAACAGTTAACACCTGGAGTCTGCAGCAACTGTGCCCACTTCCAAGAGTGAGAAACCACAAGGTTTATCCTGACTTGGTGATGCCATATTTAATACAGCAAATCCAAGCCAGTGATGTGGTCAAGATCCAGTGAACACAGCCAGGATTTTTCCATTAGATGGCAGCATGTGATCAGACACCAGTGACTCGTCCCAGTGAGGATGGAGCCCCCAAAGAGGGGCTCCAACCCTGCCAGCACTGCTCCCCTCCTGCAGGCAGCCAGCCACACATCCCAGCAGCCCCCAGTAGGACACTGGCACACTGCAGGATGCCTGGAGGCTGCACAGCACCCAGAGCCTAGAACAGGAGCTGGGGTGCTGCAGGAGGGCAGCTCCACTGCACTCAGAGAATGGATAAACTGTGTCATCACCTCACACACAGCACACCTGAGCTCCATTCCTGGCCTCTCATCTCCCAGCAGTGCCCAGCACCCTGCATGCCAGATGCCAGCATGGCTAAGAGCACGTGAGACTTACCCTGGCCAGCTGAGCCTCACTTTCAATGGCATTGTGCAGCCGAACAATTCCCACATACTCTTTGCCTGAAAGAATGACAAGAGCAGTCAGGAACGGCCACTGGCATTTGTTGTTGACCTCAAGGTCCACCCTGCTTAACAGCCACCCTGAAATCCTACCACCTCTTCTAGGAAATGGGCATGGTTTATTACAGAGTTGTTTTTTTTCCCAGGGAAATAAATCTAAGTGGCACTTATTTCTTCTCTGGACTAGCAGAGGCTGAAGCCCTAAGTTCAACTGGTACATTAAACCATGTCAGACGTGTCTTCACTGACTTGTAACAGCCCAAGCACCAGAGAAGCAATGAAAAAACCACCTGAGACAACACGGATGTGTCCTCAGTGGCTTCGAATAACTCTTAATGTCAAGGCACTGAACACTAAAATTGGCCTTTTGAAGTCTTAGAAACCTCCATTTTGTCTCCAAAAGCACTTCACACATCCCAGTCAGTGCAAATGGCCCCGAGCATCAGACAAACCTGCGCTCTGCTGAGATTTGACCAGCCGTGTGGCCCTCTCGATGCACACGATGAGGCACCCAGTCACCTTGGGGTCCAGGGTGCCACTGTGCCCTGTCTTCTCCACTCGCAGGATGCGCCGGATCCACGCAACCACCTCGTGAGAGGATGGGTTGGAGGGTTTGTCGAGGTTAATAAAGCCAGACCTGGGGTGCAAAACGGCAGAGAATGGGAGCTAAGCACCAGGGCACACATGGCAACAGTGCAGTAACTCTGAAATACTGTCCTGGCTGTGAAGAAATGTGTTTCTATACAGCCACATAAGCAACGAGCCTCCCAGCAGCTCTCAGTAAGCTCACATTGAGCTGCTCCATGCACAACAGGTGATATAATCCATGGGCAAGGAATTCTCCCCTACACTTATAAAAAAAACACTAAATTCTAAGAACTCCAAGCAGTTTCAAAGCCCAGCAGGCCAATGGACTTTTCTGAAGACCCCAGAGAATTCCTTAGGTGGTTTGCATGTTCATCCACAGACCTTCTACAACCCCAAAATAAAGAAAACTTTACAGGGAGAGACCAGTGGGTCCTATTTAAATGTTTACTGATTGTGGCAAGGCACTGAGTGAAGAAGAAAGGTACAAGGGGAATCCAGACAGAAAATATTTTGAAGGTGTTAACTGTGAAAGAAAAATAAACCACTCTGGCTGTATTGCACTCACCTAACATAGTCAGAAATCTCTCTCTTCAGGGGATTAGCACCAGAAGGAAGAGGCGTGTAGTGTGCTGTCCTCACATTTAACTTGTCAAAGTTCTACAAAATCCAAGCAGAAGTTACCAGTCTTTTTAAGCTCCCTGGATCTCAGTGCTGCTGTGCTGCAGTACATCTCCCCACATACACCAGGTCTGATTTAAGTGATAGAGCCACCTCCAAAATGAAAATGACCCAACAATGAAACCACGATATTATTCTAAAAAAATAGAGAAAAATAAAAATCCTGGACTGAAGTAGATGGGAAGCAGCACAATATATGCATCGACAATGCAGGATAAAGCAAACATTCCCCAGAAACTCAGCAGAAGCAACCTGGAAGCCTACACACAGCACAGGCCACGGTCAGACCCAAATTAAAAAACTCCAGAAATACGGCGGGATCTTTCCGAAGTACGGAAAACTCACAAAACTTAACCGGTACAGCTGGAGGGAGGCTGTAAGGCGGTTTCTGCGGGCAGAGCACCACGTGCGCCGCTGCCCGCCGCGGGGCCGGGTTACACCTCCGGGGCCGGGTTACACCTCCGGGGCCGAGCACAAAGCAGCGCCAACGCGGAGCGGCCACGAGGCCGCGCGGAGCCCGCCCTACCTTCAGCAGCAAGGGCCACTGCGACGTGTCCAGCTGGGCCACGCGGGACTCGGGCTTGATGAGGAAGTCCTCGGTGTGCTGGATGTCCTGGGGGGTGAAGTTAAGCGGCATCAGCGAGGGGGAAGCCGGCGGGCCGCGCTCCCGCCGCGCTCTCCACGTGGCCCGGGAGGCTCCGCCGCCGCCACGCGGGGCGGCCGCGCTGCCGCCGGCACGGAGCGNCGCGCGCCGCGTCACCGGCACCGGCACCGCCCGCGCCGCGCCCCTTCCGCCGCCCTCGCGCCGCCCCCGGCGCCGCCGCGGAGCTGCAGCTCCGGTCGCAGCTCCGCCTGTGGGGTTTGGACAGCACGCGGACGTAAGGAATTTCGTCGCATGGGTTGCTAGCTTTGCCTCTCGGCCTGGCGCATCCGCGGCGAACTTAGCCATAAAATAGCATCCAGTAGGGTCCGAGCCTTTCTCAGCTGCCATTTCACCTTGGCACGAGAGGGTTGTGGTAATTAAGGCTTGTTAAAATTAACAGCGTCTCTGTTTGCATTTGAGAGGGGAAAACGGCAAATTCTTTAAGTGTGGAAGGTGAAAAACACTTGAAAAACACTGGAAAAGCGTTTGAAAAAACTGTTGTCTCCAGACCCAAACATAAAAGCACTGTTTAACACAATTACCTCTAAGCTCTGGCTTGTCTCCCAGGTGTACAAACGGGATTGCCTGCTTTCCAAAAGCCTCAGCCTCTGCAGGGTCTCTGGAAGTGCTGGCTGAGAGCGTTTGTTTCACTCACCAGTGGCTGGGTACCCTGGAACTGCTCTTTATCCACCCAACACTCATCCCCGGGACATCTCCAGCCTCCAGGATAAAGCCTGCCCTGCCTGAGGTTGTATATTAGCACTGCTGGAATTTAGCAAAGCCTGTACCCAACAGGTGAGCGCACCAAAGACAGCAGGGCTTTTCCCCTCCTAAAGACCAGCTGCCTTCACCTACAGACCCCAAGAAGCAGAAAGCAAGAGACAGAAATGCCCAAGAGCAGACAGATAACAGGTGAAAAGAATTAAACAAATAGCCCACATTCCAATAACTCCTGTAACCACCATCTCCATCATTAATTCCCTTCCCAAATCCCCTGAGATGAAGTGGATTTGCCACAGTGCAGGTTCAGTTCTCTGGGTTAACAGCTGCTACAGAGACTGCAGTCAAACCACCATCACCCCACTTGCAGGTCAGTGCCCGGCTCCTTTCACCCACCACAAAACTGAGGGCCTCGTGTTGGCTGCAGTGCCAGTTGTTTTCAGGAGGGGGAAAAATTAAAACCCTATTTTTATACGGAGTTTTTGTTTGATTTTTCAGAAAAAGCAACTCTAACAACATTTGATTCATAGATACCCAAATCCTCCAACACATGCAAATTGCAGCCAGTCTTTTAATGAAAAGCTTCCTTCTGCCCTGAAATGGCCTTTCTGCTTTAAGGCTACACTTCTTCCAAGCACGACAACTTTCAGCACATACAGTGAGCAGTTTACTATGACACAAGGCGAACATGTAGATGAACGCATTCTCTCACCAACCATTACTTCAACTCGTATTAAAAATAAATAACGGAATAGAGTCTGTGCTGGCACCGGCTGAAGCGACCAGTCCGAGCAGTCCCCGCGGGCGGCGGCGCTCAGAGCCCCTGTCCGGCGGGGCTCAGCATCTCCTGCAGCACCAGGTGCAGCAGATGGTTCTGCTCGGCGCTCAGCAGCGGCCACAGCTCGGCCTGCAGCGCCTTCAGCGCTTCCGCGTCCTTCTCCTGGCAGGCCAGCACTGCCGACTGCAGCAGCAGGAACAGCTCGGCCGGCAGGTAGCTGGCGGCCGGCGGCAGCGCCCCGCCCGTCCCGGAGCCGCTCCCGGCGCCCGCTCCGCCGTCGGGCGCCTCCCAGCAGTACTGCTCCAGCGTGCGGGCGTGCTCGGGCAGCAGCTTGGCGGGCGGCGGCTGCAGCAGGAGCAGCAGCAGCACCCGCGACACCTCGCAGCGCGCCAGCACGTCCAGGAAGGCGCCGCCGGGCGCGGCCCCGGCCCCGGCCGCCCCGCCCAGCCCGGCCCGCCTCGGCGGGGCCGTGGAACAGGCTCTGGGCGCAGCGCGCCACGGCCAGCTGGCACCAGGCCGCGTAGGGCAGGCTCTCCTGGGCGCGCAGCTCCCGCGCCAGCGCCGCGAACTGCTCCGCCGCCTCCGCCACGTTCGGTTTCCGCAGGAACCGCCGCCGCAGCTTGGCCGACACCAGCCGGTACCGCGACAGGAAATCGCCGNNNNGCCCGCCGACAGCATCGCGGGCCCTGCGCGGAACTGACGCGCCTCGCCGGGCCGCGCTCCGCCGCGCGCCGCCGGCCAATCAACGCCCGCCCCGCCCCGCGCCGCCGGCCAATCGGCGCCCGTGCCGGCGTCTCGTGGTAGTGGGGCGTGGCGAGGGCACGACTACTGCACACCGCGCATCGCAGCTGTCACCGCCCATGATGGGCGCGGCTATGCGGCACAGGCCCCGCCCATGGGGCGTGGCTAAGCGCGGCGAACACCGCCCCCGGCATGCAGTGGGCCTTAACTGTGTGGCGCCCTCTTGCGGAGTGGAGGACCCGCGCTCCTACTCCAGCCCCACCGGGACCGGACCGGACCGGGCAGGGCAGGGAGAGGGTCAAGCTCTGGAGCTCTTGGGGGAAACCGCAGCAGCCAGGTTCACAGAAGAACAATTCACCCAAATGGTAGCAAGTGGTGGGTGAGCTCCTTGGCCAAAGGATGCGTGGCGGCAGGAATTTTAGGTGACATCAAAGGGTGACAGGTAAACACTTGGACACGAGAACTCTTTGGGTTCCTAAACAAATAAGCCACGTCTGACTCGGAAAATCTCCAGCGCTGAAAATATTTCGTGATGGAGAGACTAGGTGAACATGGCAGCACGTGTGCTTGCCTGCTCCCCGCTGCTCGCTGGGCAGCTGCTGGAGGCACGGCCGGGGCTGGCTGGGAAAGGCTGTTCGCACTCCTGTCCGTATGAGCACATGAACCCAACGGCACGCACCGTGCGAGCCGAGGTGAATGGCAGCCACACCGCCATCCTGGGTATCCCATCGGCCAGGCTCGCTGGCAGCTGGCACTGAGCCTTCCGTCTGTCCCAGGCCTGCTCAGCGCGGCCACGGTGCTGCTGTGACACTTTGTGTCCGACCGGCACAGGGCTGAAAGCTCAGCCCTCCCTCCCAGCGCGGGGCCGGGCCCTGGGCTCTCACCGCGCCCCTTCCGCCCGTGCCGCTGCCCTGGGCCCTCCCTGTCGCTGCCCGGGGCGGGTCTCTGTCGCTGCCCTGGGCGCTCCCTGTCCCTGCCCGGCGCGGTCCCTGTCCCTGCCCGGGGCGCTCCCTGTCCCTGCCCGGCGCGGTCCCTGTCGCTGCCCTGGGCGCTCCCTGTCCCTGCCCTGGGCGCTCCCTGTCCCTGCCCGGAGCGCTCCCTGTCCCTGCCCGGAGCGGGTCCCTGTCGCTGCCCTGGGCGCTCCCTGTCGCTGCCCGGAGCGCTCCCTGTCGCTGCCCGGCGCGCTCCCTGTCTCTGCCCGGAGCGCTCCCTGTCTCTGCCCGGAGCGCTCCCTGTCGCTGCCCGGGGCGGGTCTCTGTCGCTGCCCGGAGCGCTCCCTGTCCCTTCCCGGGGCGGGTCCCTGCGGCCCCTGTCGCTGCCCAGAGCGGGTCCCTGTCGCTGCCCGGGGCGGGTCGCTGTCGCTGCCCGGCGCGCTCCCTGTCTCTGCCCGGCGCGCTCCCTGTCTCTGCCCGGGGCGGGTCGCTGTCGCTGCCCGGGGCGGTCCCTGTCGCTGCCCTGGGCGGTCCCTGTCGCTGCCCGGCTCCCCAGCCGCCGCTGGCAGCCGCCATGGCTCTGTGCTGGGCGCTGCGGCCGCCGCGCTGCCGCCTCCGGCCGCCGCCGCTCGCCCTGCCCGCGCCGCCCCGCAGCCTGCTGGCAAGCACAGCGACAGCGCGGGAGCGGAGGGGAAAGGCCAGGGTGAGCTGCAGCCTGCCAGAGCCTTCCTGGGAGGAGAGGTACGGCTTTTCCGAAATGAAAAGCGTTCTTTCAAAGCAGCAAGCACGTAAAGCTGTGAACGTGGCGGGTTGGGGGTTTACTTGCACCCGGTAGGAATAGAAGAGCCAGGGCTCGGCTTGTTTTCCTGGAGTCTGGCCTGGGGAGGGGATAGTGGAGAGCACAAATGAACAGTTCTGAGAGGAAAGGAGCAGATAAGTTGTCATATTCGCAAGCAAAAAGTGATAGTCCATTTGATTTGCAGTCCTGGACTTCAGAGTAGTTGTCACTGGGTGCTTTGGAAGTAGCTGCAAAAATCGTAGGTAAGGAATAGCTGCAGCTGATCCAGCTGTGAGATGGTGTTCCCAATGGGCTCAGAGACTCAGTTATGAGTGCTTGAATCATATCAGCCTCACCTCTGCTTTGGGGGTCTTTTTAGGATATGTATGTTTGGGCGTTTTTTAACCAGTTTATATGTGTTTTGTTCTCGCTTGTTCTGCTTTGGATATGAGTAGTGGCAAGTTCTGAGGTTTATCTCTAAACCACTTCTGTGTGGGCGGCCGGGTCAGTGAGACTGAGCAGCTTGAAATTCCCTCCTGCTACACACACTGTGCATTCCACTGTGGTTCCCTGGGAGTCTGGATGTTCACAGCCTGGTGCAGAGCTCACACCAGAACAGTCCTGCCCATGAAGTAGCTGACAGGGATGTTATGCCATAGGAATGAGGACTCAAGTAGCTCTGGGCACTGCCTTGTGCTTTCCAGGTTAGCAAATGCAGTGACGCCACTGTGGAGACTTCCCTACCAAGAGCAGCTGCAGGTAAGATGTGTTTACACAGACTTTTCTCCCTTGTGTTGCCCCAACTGTCCCTCCTATCCGCTTGAGCAGCAGTCCTTAGCATCTTAATGCTGCAAACTGTTCAGACCCCATTTACTGCTGCTTTAATCCTGCTGTTGTGAAGGATAGAACTGGGAGATTCCTTGTAGTACAGGAGATGGGCATTTGCACAGTGATCCCGTCCTCTGTGGGACTGCTCTGCTCCACTGGGCTTCAGGTTAGACAAAGTGTTCCAGGCCAGCATTTGGGGACCACAGACACAGGATTTTTCACTCTTCCTGTTTCTCCAAGCATCTGTGGTTATGAAAAGGGCAGAGTTCCTCTGGGGCTATATTTTCACTTCAGTTTTCCCTTCTGTTGGACTCCTCAGAGGTGGGTGATGAAGAGCTGCCCACCATCGTGTGGTCCTGTGAGAGTGTTTCTGCCTTAAAACTCCTCTGCAGGTAAAGTATGAAAGCCAGAGGAAGATTTTGCAGACACTGGCATCTCGTCTTGAGGAGCTGGGCATAGATGCACAGAAACCTGGTGGGCTCTGCTGTCCTCTGCAGCCTGTAGTTCCTTCGGTGAGTGTCCCATGGAAATGCTCTTCCCTCTGAGCCACGAACAGTCTCTTACTCAACAGCTCAGAGTCTCATGGGGGGCATCATTTGCTTGCAGAGAGTGTGTCTGAGTCAGTCCTTGCTAACTTGTGCTTTGCAGTTTGTGACTGCCCAAGAGTGAAATAAGCCCAGTGCTTAGGAACTCTCTTTTTGTGCCTAAGGCCTCCCTGTTAAACCTGTTACCATTGTCACAGAGAGCCACATCTTATCCCCAAGGGGCAGAACTGGGCTTCTTGTGCACAAGCTGTGTTTCTGTGTTTTGCCCATTCACACACATCTTCCCATGTGGGCAACAGAATAACCAGACTGGGATTTGGCTTTCCTCCATTGCTTTTTCTTTTAATCCAAGGCTTTGCTTTTCATTCTTTTCTCCCTCAGCCCATCATTAACGGCTACCGAAACAAATCGACTTTCTCTGTGAACCGAGGGCCAGATGGGAACCCCAAAACTGTGGGGTTGTATGTAGGAACTGGCAGAGGTCAGTGCAGGACAAGAAACTCAGAGAAAACTGCTGGCATGGGCTGTGGAACTGGGGAAAGGACTCTCCACAGTTTATCATGTCAGGTGCTACAGTGGTTTACGTGCCCTGAACCAGAGCAGTTAAATTCCTATCCATTTCTCTACAGAAAGGAATATTGTCTGTGTGAAAGCCAACCATGTGGAGAACATACCCTCAAAACACAAACAAGTAGCTCAGGTAAATAAATAAGTCATGTCTGTCCCTTCACTGTGGAATATGGACACTGCAATAACTCTTACTTGGGAGAACACTGTAATTTTAATTATGCTGTGTTCTCAAGTCCATTTTCATGTTCTGGAAATTTTCATGCCTGATTCTGATTGATGGATAAATACTTTTATATAAATTCACATGTTGATATTACAGCCCATAAAGTGTGCCAAATAATGAAGTTAATCAAGTGACAATGAATTCCTGCCAATCTATTAAAATGCTTAAGACTTGCAAATTGAAATTATTAAAACACCTTGTCTTTCAAGAGCCTGGAAAGGGCGTTCAGCCAGTGTATTGAAATCAAACAGAAAAAGCAGAGCACAGTGGTGGGAGGGCTGCCTGTCTGGGGGGGCTGAGAGCAGGGCCGTTGTCTTCATGGTGCTAAAGGTGCCATTTCCCCTCCCCTCAGTGCTACGAGGAGTTCATCTGTCACTCCCCCCTGGACTCCTGCATCCTCTTCCATGAAGGTGGGCACTGGCGAGAGCTCGTGGTGCGTACCACCCGCTGTGGCCACACCATGGCTATCATCACCTTCCACCCCCAGCAGCTGGGCCAGGTGAGCGCGTGGGGACAGGGCAAGAGGCACATCTGGCTGAGCTGAGCCTGCTGGCTGTGCTGCTGGGGAGAGGGGTCTAATCAGGGTACCCAAAGAGGCAGCTTTTCCTTTCTCACTCTTGCCAGGAGGCACTGGCTACTCAGAAAGCATTGCTGAAGGAGTTCTTCACATCTGGGCCTGGAGCAGTCTGTGCCTTGACTTCGCTTTATTTCCAAGAGAGGTAAGTGCCTCAGCAGGGGGAATGAGTGGAAACAAAGCCACCTCCTTCTTCTACCCTTTCTGGCCAAATTCAAATTCCAGCAGTTCAGGGTGTGCTGGAAGAGAATGAGAGATGTTTGCATCCCTCTTGAAGATGTGGCTTTAAGTTGGGCCCATCTTTTATTTTTCCAGACTTATTTGAACACACTATGGGTCTACCTCTGGGAATCATGAGTCTGGGAAACTTAAAGAAAAAACTTTCAGTGACTATCCCAAAGCAGTAAATAACATTAGCAGCAAAACTGGGGAATAGACTTGAGGAATGCTGCCTTGTGCTAAGTCATTTTGATACTTTTAATGAAATTTAGACTATGCAAGTCACAGATCCCTTACAAAGAATCAAAATGCTTTAATCTTGTTGAAAGGCTCACATGAAATGTAAGTTGCTGGGGGGATGAACCATCCTCTGCTGCCCTTGGGCACCCTGGCAATGGAAACCAGCTCCTCTCTGCTGCCTTCTCACAGCTGTATTTTGTGTGCTCTGCCAGCACCATGACACGCTGCTCCCACGAGCAGTCCCCCTACCAGCTCCTGCACGGAGCACCGCACATCTTGGAAGAGCTGCTCGGCCTGCAGTTCCGCATCTCTCCAGACGCCTTCTTCCAAGTCAACACGGCTGGGGCAGAAGTTCTGTACCAGGCAGTCAGGGAGCTCTGCCAGGCTACTGGGGACACTGTCCTCCTTGACATCTGCTGTGGAACAGGTGGGGTCCTGGGCTCCTAGAGCTTTGCATTCCAGAGCTGATCCTTGCTATGTGAAGGCGTGTTTCTTCAGCATGAATGTGTGGAGTTCTTTGTTTCCCCTGTTTCCAGGCACAATTGGTCTCTCTCTGGCTCACCAAGTGTCCAAGGTTATTGGTGTCGAGGTGGTGGAGAAGGCAATAGAGGATGCTGAGTGGAATGCAGCATTCAATGGTGAGCTCAGACTTGTTGTGGCAAAAAGTTTCAAACTAAATGCTGAAAAATCAGAGTAGAAGTGAGCAGAGGGACCCTAACCAGTTACCTTCACACAGCAAAGGGTGGTTCATGTTATACCTAACTCTTGGTGAGACTCAGTTCATGTGGTTGCTTTTTTGTTTCACAGGGATCTCAAACTGTGAGTTTCACAGTGGAAAGGCAGAGGCTGTGTTACCACAGCTCCTGGCATCGTGGGAGGATGCCCGACCGCTTGTTGCTGTTGTGAACCCTTCTCGGGCTGGCCTACGTGAGAGAAAATGCTATTTATTTTCATCTTGTAAACAGAGAGTTTTGAGCAAGTTCTGTGAGACCTGTTATACTGGCTCCACACCCTTCCCTTGCTTAGTTTCTTGTTTCTTGTTTTAGCTGTTGCAGCAGCTAAAATCCCATAAAGTCTGCTGTTTTCAGTGCTTTCATCATGCTTTCTCTTTAGCTCTAATCCTTTTCCCATCTTTCACAGGCTCACACAATTATTTAAGTGAGAAGGGACCTCTGGAGGTCTGTGGTGCAATCTCCCAACTATAGCAAGGCCAACTTCAGAGTTGTATGAGGTTGCACAGGGATATAAAGCCTAGCTGAGGTTTAGCATGTGTCCAAGGGTGTATCCCCTCTCCTGAAAATGTTTTCCCTACTATATTTAATCAGGATTTTCCCTTGCTGCCATACATCTATTGCTTCTCATCCTCTTCTCATGCCCATCTGTAATGCCTCATGAGGTCCCTGGAGATAGTAAATGGATCTTTGCTTACCTTCTTTTCCTCAGGCTGAATAACCCAGCCCTCAAACTCTCTCAGTGGTCTCCCCTGGAGTGTATACTGGGAAGTCACACACTGGTCCTGGTGCCCAGATGCACTCTCACAAGTGTGTGTGGAAGGTTTTATATGCCTTTGCTTAATTAACATTTTTTCTCTCATCCTTCACCCCCTGGGAAGCAGAGGGACTTGTCCCATTGCTCTGCCCTGCCTGCCAAACTGGCTGAGCTGTCAGCAGTGTGGGTCACACCCGTGGCCTCCTGAGAGACTTAATCTGAGACAAAACGTGGCAGAATATGCATCTGTATTTTTGACAGTTCTATGGTGCTGTGCAGTCATTCCTTCTGGAGAGCTCAGGGTGGTGGAGGAAAGCAGGCTGTTTGTTTTTGCAGACTACAGGGTCGTTCGAGCCATCCGGAACTGCAGGAGCATCCGCAGGCTGCTCTACATCTCCTGCAAGCCAGAGGGTGAAGCCATGAGGAACTTCCTCGAGTGAGCACTCTCCTTTCTCTTGAGCTCAGTGACAGGCCCTGTTAAGTCCAGACAAGGCATCAGTGAGGAACAGAAAATAATTCAAACGTGGCACAATGACATTGTGTATCTCTCTGAAATAAAAAGCACATCTGGATGTGAGATGCAGAGTCCATGGGGTTCGCTGCAGGAAGGTTGGCCCTCTCCAAGAAAGGGAAGCTAAGAGGATTTGTCACCTGCTTAGGGGTTAATCATGTAGCTTTATCTGGTCAGCCTTCAGCTGGGGTACACCCAGGTGATAAATCTGTCTGCAGGCAGCCGTAAAGGCAGTGCACAACTGAAAATTGAGTGTCAGCTGGGATGGCTTGTGAGAAAAGGAGCTTTGAACTTGCCACTGACTGTTCAGCTTCTCCCTGAGGTTTTCAGAGCTGGTTGGGGATTCAGTATTGATGGTTCCACACCTCAGCCAGTGTCAGCTGCAGATTCTGAGGAATGTTAGTCAAACACATGATACCTCCTGTGTGGGTTCCCCTTGGATTGTGTTACTAGTGGTGGGAAGGCTTCTGCTACTGGTCTAAAGGATGCTCTTTGCTTCCCACAGGCTGTGCTGCCCACCTGACCCACGGAAGAAGCTGGCAGGGGAGCCATTTGCCCCCGTGATGGCTATTCCTTTTGACATGTTTCCTCACACTGTTCATTGTGAGCTGGTGCTGCTGTTCACCCGCTGACAAGGAGGCAGGAATGAGCTCTGAGAGCTTGGGAAGCAACCTCCTCCTGTCCTGAAGAGCTAATGTAGTTAGGATTTTAACTTATTTTCTGTGAAGTTGTATAAAAATAAATAATTTTGGTTTTTCTCTTACTTTGGGTTGCCTAGCGACACTGTTCTGTAAAGATCTACTTGGATTTCTGGGGTAAAGGGTTCTTTGTAGCATTTCATCACCCTTCCTTCCCCTGCAAACCTCAGGCTGCTGGTTAAAGCAGCCTGGAAAAGACTCTCTCCCTATGTTGAGGAATCTGTAGCTGGTGTTCGAGCTGCAGGTTGTGCCCTGGATAGTGGGAAATCGCTGGAGCCCCAGGCAAGGAGCCGTGAATGGGCGCTGACCTTGTCCCTAACAAAGGACACGGGACTTCCAGCGCTGGCTGGCTGTGGGTGGCTTCTCACCCACAGACTCTGCACAAACCAGTGAACAATGAGAAGACACCAGAGTCTAATTTTCCACTGGTCAGAGCTGTTGTGGGAGATTTAAGTTGGAAGAGTGTGAAAGCCAGGGATTCCTACTTGGGGTCCCTGCCCAGAGGAGGCACCAGCTTCGACAAGGAGGTTTTTCTATATATGAAATAAAGAGAACAGATTTCAGCGTCTCTCTTTTCACATCTGCCTCCCCCTTCTCCACTAATGATTCCTGATGCCTAAGTATGAAGTGCCCTGTGAAAATGTCAGCTGCAATATTTTTCCTCTTCAGGATGTTCTGCAATAGCTAATTAAAATTTTCCTTCTGTTTTGTATGTCCAGTCCTGCTTACAGTGTTGTTATATTTCTCCAGCTCTTCCAGAGATGAAGCTGCTGTAATGTGGAGGGGAGTCTAAGTGAGCAGAGTTCCCTTGTGTTGTGTGTCCCAGAATATTTTGAGTCAAGGCTGATAAACTCCCAAGAAAACTAGGAGATTTTTCATACTTTTAATTCCAGACCTCAGCTTTGAATAATAACAGCAACCAGTTCTCAAGCCATGGGGGCTCAAAATACATGTGTTTAGGATTTAAGGATTACTACTCCATAAAGGGAATGATGATGAGATTCCTGACAGGCGTAGGAAATGTCACTCTTGCACTATATTGTAGATTTTTACACACTGTTGCAGCCTGTTGTTTTCGTTTTATACCAAAGGATGCAATATTCCAGCAGTTCTATTTTGTGTAATTATACCTTGGTTTCTCATTGTGAGATCTGAATAGATTTCTACTAGGTTTTGGTCAAAAGGAACTTTCTGGCATTAATTGTAGGGGAGACAATGACTTTAAATCAGAAGGTACCAGAGATCATAAAACCTTTCCACTAGCCTCTGGATAGCTGAACATACAGGATAGGTTTTATCAGCAGTGGGGGCAGGTGACACAAGTGGCCTCACCTTCCCTTTTGAGCATCAGGTTCCAGGAGAGCCACAGAGACAAAACATTTATTTTTCTTTCCTGCTGCAAATAAATGAAGCAATATGTTGTTTGCTGTGTTATGAGCATCCTAGTATCTGAAACTGAAAGCTCTCTACGTACAAGAGACCCCTGGCCACTTCTCCTCCACAGCAAGTTCCTCCTGTGCCCTCTGCTAACATGTCCTCGTTTTCCCGCTAATGAATGACTGTGCTCTGCCTTTGGCTGCCATCCCACATCCCTAGGATTGACTCCGTTTCGGCTTTCTGTGGGCGATTTATGGAGCAGGCAAGGAAGCAGAAAGAGGATGAATTCCTCTCGCTCTCCCGCGCTGGCGCTGCCTGGCTGTGGCTGCAGGGCTTTAGGACCCAGGGGTTGCCGAGTGGAGGAGGCTGGATCTCCTCCCGCTGTCATCCTCCTGCCTCTGCAGCTTTATTCCTACAGCCTTCAATGGTGACGGACTCCCTCCCTCCCGGGCTGCCAGCCAGAGCCACAAGGCCTCGCTAGGAGCGGATCCCCGCGGCTCTATGGCATCTCCCAGGACCATCACCATTGTCGCCCTCTCGGTGGCCCTGGGGCTCTTCTTCGTCTTCATGGGGACGATCAAGCTGACCCCCCGGCTCAGCAGGGACGCCTACAATGAGATGGTAAGTGGGGCAGCTCGCAGGGAGGTGCTGGAGGCTCTCCCGCCTTGCAGCCGGAGCAGCGGGGATGGGGGACTGCCCTGGAACCCCGAGCGAGGGCCAGGAGCGGGAAGAAGCTGATCTGACCCGTTACTTGATAGACATGGAGAGAAGCCAATAAAACGCAGTGCCCGGGATATCCTGGCAGCCCTTTTGTGGCTCCGGCCGAGCCGATGCACGGAGAAACCTCTGGTGGATAAGGATGGCGAGGGGAGGCAGGGAGGATGGGGTGGCACAGCACACACAGCCTGCAGGAGATGGGGACACAAGGGTCTGGAAAAGCAAGGCCTGCAGGAGTGCCAGACATGCAGCAGGCAGGGACAGCTGATCCCCGAGGGGAAACCTATCCACTGGATGGGGGTGGGAAAAGCAGATGTCAGCTCTGGCAGATGTTCATCCTCAAAATTCCATGCTTTAAAGCAAGGATAATGACACTTACTGTCCCTACCTCACCAGACTTGTGCAGGGATTAATTGATGATTGTGAAATGCTTTGAGATTCTTAGCTGGCAGAGGAAGGTATTATTAATAGTCTTCTTCTTACTCTCTTTGGCCTGGGAAATGAGCCTCTCCCCCTCTTGCCTAAGAGGAAAGGGGTGAGGAGAGGACGGAGAAGTCACTGTGTGCATTTCTCACCTGGTGAACTGGTTTATGCTCCTCTCTGCTCGGGGCCAGCCCTGCTGCAGAGCTCTGCCAGCTGCAGGCAGGTGAGGGACTGGCTGCCACATTTTGCTTCCTCATTTGTGTTTATTTATTCTCCTGCTCCCCCCACCCCCTTCCCCAGTTATTTATTGTGGTGGTTGAAAAGATTACTATAATTTTTGTGTCCTTAAAAAAATAGTGCTGGAAGTTTCCAGCACATTCTGTTCTCTCCCTTTGCTCCACCTGCCCAGCTGCTTTTCCATAGCTCTCAAATAACGTCTGAATTGCAGTGCCTAGTCTGCAGCCCAGCACAGGGATCTCACAGAGGAAAATCCCCAAGAAGTAACTCATAGGCAAGAGACACATGAGGTAAAACCCCTAGAAAACAAAGCTCTTAAGCTTCTCCTACAGGGAAAAAAAAAAAAAAAAAAAAAAAAAAAAAAAAAAAAAAAAAAGCACAGAGACTTTAGGATCATTGCAAAATGCTTGCTCTGTAAAATATTTCACTTCTGTGTCCCCTTCTGCTTTATCAAGAGTCAAGCCTACAGGTAGGAATGATCTCTGGTTTTATAAAGAAGGTATTACACAGCACCATTATTCTTCATAGTCCATATTCATGTTATATATTCATGGCTCATTAGGCTCTCCTGCCTGTGCTGGGCTGCATCCTGTGGTGGTCATGCAGACAGTTAGGAAAAACCTGACCTTGCTAAGCCATAAGGATGGCTTTTTGCCTCCAGCAAACAGAGAACCTTTGTTATCTACCTAAACCAGCAAACTTGTAGTTTTTCATTCAGCAAAAAACCACATTAGCTTGCCTATTAAAATACCTAAAATACCAGAGTACTCTGGGCCATGCTTATAGTGCATTTCTTAAAAATGTTGTATTTTTCACAAGTGTTTAAAAATACTCTGCTCTGAGGTTTTAGTCACTGATGATTTAAAATACATCCTTACAATGCAAACACTTGGAGTAAATGTGTCATGAGATCTTCAGTTATTTTGTAGCAAAAATGACAATGCTGGATATTTTTTAACCACCTGTGAAGCATCAGTTCCTCTCAGAAGGAAGCATCAAAATCTATGGAGACATGGGAAAGTTCTGTATGCCTGTAATGTAGGTTTCCAAAATTGTATGGAAGTAAATCCACAGTCTGATCAGTGCCTGTGAGAGCTGAACAATCCTGTAACTGAGATTTGGCTTCCATTTCCCTCACACTGATTGGAAAACAGAGAACACAATGGCAAGAATGTCTTCAGGGATATTATCCTCAAGTATAAGTGGAAATAATTTCAGTGGCTGACACTGAATATAGGAGCCTTATTAAAAATATATATATATATATATATATATATATATATATATATATATAAAGGAAATACTTGAGTGCAAAAAAAAAAAAAAAGATAAAAAAACCCAAATCAAACAGTAAGGCCACCAGCACCTAATGTTCAAATGCAAGAACCTGGACATGTGTAAGGACAAATGTTGTTTTTTTCCCCAAAAGAATGAAGCAGCTGTGTAAGCAGGCTGAGTCTTGCAGCTGACACTGCTTCTAAATCCAGCATAAACCAGGGAACAAATAATGTCAAATGTCAGCTTGCTTTCACCTGAGGAAAGAAAGGATCATAAAGGTATGTAAGCACAGGATAGGACTGGTGAATCTCAGCTTTGATGTTTAGTCCCACCCTAAACCTGCACTGCCCATAACTACTGCAAGTTGTTTTGGAATATTGTAAGTTTGCTTTCGAGTAGAAAGATACTTGTATTTGGTTGCTGAACTTTGGTTTTCCAGGGATTGAGTGTATTAGTCAATTTTAAAGCACAATGTACTCTTAGAAAGAGGTTTGTTTGTTTTAATAATAGGGTTCTGCACTGCTAATTCCGGCAATCAGAACCTCAGATTTTGGGGTAAGGTACACCTGGCCTGGTTGTAGTTCCAAAGATGGATGAGAGGTTGCAGAACTGTTTTCCAGTGAGGAGACAACAGCTCAGAAAGGGGGAATTGCAGATTGATGGTTTAATATACCCCCAAACAGAAGCTTTACAGGTTGGGTTATTGTGCCAGAGGGGTCTGTGACAATCGAAATAATTTTTAGGTCATGTTGCACATCAATCTGTTTCAATGGAAGTCACCTTTGCCTTCAGTTTCTCACACGATGTCCTTGGCTGCTTGGTTCCAGAAACGAGCATACAAAAGCTACGTGCGGGCCCTGCCCATGCTCAAGAAGATGGGAGTCAGCTCTATCCTCCTCCGCAAGAGCATCGGCGCCCTGGAAGTGGCGTGCGGCATTGTCATGACACTGGTGCCCGGTCGCCCCAAGGACGTGGCCAACTTCCTGCTCCTGCTCCTCGTGCTGGCTGTGCTCTTCTTCCACCAGCTCGTGGGGGACCCCCTCAAGCGTTACGCCCACGCCCTGGTCTTTGGCATCCTGCTCACCTGCCGCCTGCTGATCGCCCGCCAGCCCGAGGAGCTGCCGCCGGACAAGAGGGTGCTGTCGGTGAACGGGGAGGAGCAGCCGCTCATCCATGAAGCAGCCCCCGAGAAGGGCAAAGTGAAGGTATCCTAGTTGAGTGCACGTGAGGAAACACGGACCCTCGAGGCAGCTCTCTCCAAAATCACCCAGAAAAATTGGTTTTTATTTACCTCCTTACTTTTTTTTTTTTTTTCTGTCTAAATAAAGTTGCGCTTGGGGTCTGAGAGATACAAGGTATGTCTACACTGTAGTCTTGCTTTTGCTGCTGCCCTGTAATGTAGAAAAACACAAGCCAGCTTCCACAGGGACAGCTTGGAGGCAGTCAGCAACCCGGCTGGAGCAGTGCTGGCCTCAGCAGGAGCTGCAAAAGCAGCCTGAGACCCTTCATCTGCGCGGGCACTGGGGCCACCCCGGCACTGCTGCAGCGGGAGATCGCTCCTGAGCAGCAGCCCCGAGCCCGCAGCAGCACAGCTGGCCTGGGTGCTGCTGCTGCCCGGAGCAGAGGCTGGGCAGGCCATGGCCGGTGTCCCTGTGCAGCCCCACACACACATCTGCATTTCCCTTTCCATGGTCAGGGGGTGAAAGGGACCCTGTTACCAAAAAAGTGTTGGAGAGAGGGATTCCTTGGGCTTTGCTGCCTCTGTGCCCAGTCCTTTCTATGGAATGCTTATCCAGAGAAAACATGGGATGCTCTGTTTACATCTTCTTTGATTTATGTGCACAGGCTCCAAAACTGGGACAATGGCCTGATAACAGTAATTTTTTGCCTGCTTCACACCAGGCAGTGGCATCTCTTTACCCTTCTTGGCAGAGAGTAAGGGTGCCTGGAGAGGGGATGGGGAGTGGAACTGCCCAAAGGACTCCAAAGTATCTCTCTGATGCTGGCAAGTAGCATCGTGCTCCCCAGTTCCCTGCAAGTTCCTTTTTTCCCCTCCCACAGCTACTGTGACTTTATAGATTTGCTGTCCATTTCTGGTAGATGAGGGTCTGAACAATTGCAGGTACCTCACTGCTCCTCCCACGTACAGCCTCAGTGAGCTGCATAAGTCCTGTTACCAGAGCCTGAATCCCTGTGTTGTACCTGAAATCTTAGAGTGTCATAAGGAGCATGTGTTACCTCTGAATTTTGTCTGGTTTTCTTAATGTTTGTCTGTTCTCAGTTTTTTCCTTTTTTTTTTTTTTTTTTTTTTAATTAGTCACAAAAATAAACTTTTTGAAATTTGGAGAAAAATGTCTTTACAGAAACAAATTTCTTATTTGAGAGACGTGTGTGAAAACATTTCCCTCTGGTTAAACACTCCACCTAAAATGGGCAGAATGATGTCGGGCAATTTGAGAGACAAGGTGATGCAGAGTGGAAGTCAGATAAACTCTACTTGGTTACATATTAATAACCACAGATATTTAAAAGAAACATTTGGGTATTTTACTGAAACAGTCTTAGATAAAGTTCTGCTACAGTTCAATGCAGCAGTGAGAAAATGTAACTCCAGTAAACATTGTATCTCTATGAAAATTGATTCTGAATGTTCATTCACAGTTTTCTCCTGAACTTTGCTGCTAAAACAGATGCAGCCCTATATAGATGAGTGTATACATATATATATAGGGCTGCACCTATTTTAGCAGCAAAATATACATATATATGCTGAAAAAGCCTCATCCCAGAGCTCCAGATGGACTACATCTTTATCAGATGCGCACCCTGAGCAAAGGAAGCAGCAGGCCACCTCTGTTAGACAATCTCAAGGTCATCCAAAATATATACACAAAATTCCCTTCACTTCCCAAAAGACGCTTTAACTACCATGCCCCAGCTGGGGTTATTAATTGTGTTTTAATTCAAAACCAAATAAAAATAGCACCAACTCAAAGCCACACCATGCTGTGCATTCCCAGCAAACGCGACTGAACTGCTGCAGCCCTTTCACCTGGGCATCCCCCTCAGGAAACCTTTGGGAACAATTGTTGTGTTTATCTTTTGTAACATTCCCCACTGAAGCTTGTAGAGATGATGATAATAAAGCATCCCATGGAGCAAAGCCTCTCTCTGTAAAAGCTTCAGACTGTTCAATGACTACTAAAACCCCCCCTTTTTCACATTTGCATGGATATGAACAACTGACCCGCAGCAGTGTTCTTTGTTATAGAGCGAGCAGAGACAGCTCATCTTGGAGCCCGGTAACAAGAATTCTGTATTTATCTTAGCGGGCTGACCTCTGTCACTGCCCCCCAGCATTAAACAGCTATTTTTGGACGTTTCCAGCCATCTGTGCTCGCTGGAAGTGACAAGAACAGATCCACTCCTTCTCTAAGACCTCGATGCTCATTTACTCTTCCTTCTTTTTTTTCCCTTTAATTCTTTATTTCTATTTCTTCTCCACGCCCCTCAGTTCATTCCGGTCGGCCTCAGGGTTACTGCCTCGCTTTGTATGTGCTTTTTTTTCCCCGCCTCTCTATTTTAAAACGTAACCGCAGGCTGCCGTTCCCCGCAGGAACGGGGAGGGACTCTCCCCTCACGGGGGGTTCCCGCCCGCCACGCAGCGCGCATGCGCAGAGCCGCCAGGCGCAGGAAGGGCGGAAGCGCCGCCGTCATTCCCGCCCACCGCCCGTGGTGGCGGCTCCGCGCACGCGCAGCTGGGCGGGTAGGAAGCCGCACGCAGGGCAGTGCGCATGCGCGGGGCGGTGGCGGCGCGGTTTGAATGCACGGACGGTTGGAGGCAGCGGGTGGCGGCCCCGGAGGGTTAGCGGCTGCGGGAAGGCGATCGGTGCCCAGAGCGGCAGCAGGGCTAACTGCCTTGGAATGGTCCGTGCTGCCCCGACAGAGGTTAGTGGTCGTGGGATGGTGAGTGGCCAGAGCGGCGGGAGGATCAGTGGTCGGGGCGGCGGGGGTCGGTGCCCAGGGAATGGTCAGTGGCCGTGAGGGGCGTAGTCAGTGGCCAGGGCAGCGGGAGGGTCAATTGCCCCGGAATGGTCAGGGGCCGTGTCTGGGGATGGTCAGTGCCGTGCGAGGGGATGGTCAGTGGCCGGGGGAATGGTCAGTGGCCGGGGGAATGGTCAGCGGCCGGGGGAATGGTCAGTGCCCGGGGGAATGGTCAGTGCCCGGGGGAATGGTCAGGGGCCGTGTTAGGGGATGGTCAGTGCCCGGGGATGGTCAGTGCCGTGCGAGGGGACGGTCCGTGACTTCCCCAGGGCCGGGGGCTCCGCCGCCGCTCTGAGCGCGCCGGGGCCGCCGGGCCGGCCCGGGAAGGCCTCACCGCCGCCGTGCCCTCGGGATGCTCCGGGCCCTGGGGTGTCGCGGTGGGGGCTGCAGGGGAAGGGGGTGCTGGAGAGGAGAGTGTGAGGGGTGCTGGTGCCACACTCCTCGTGTGTGGGCTCGCTGGCAGCCAGAACTGCCCGTCCAGCTGCTCTCTCCTTCACCAAACCTTTCTGGTAGAACTCCTGCAGGGCAAAACAGAACAAAACACGTGTAGAGAAGGTGCTGAGGGAGCTGAGAGAAGGCTGGCGATGCACTTCAGAGTGGCCACCGAGCTTTGCTGGGCAGGAAAGTGACAAACAAACCTATAGGGAAATAATGATGCTTGTAAGCTCGTAAGGAAGTGAGAGGTGGAGAGGGAGTAGGAAGTGAAAGTCATTCTGTTTCATTGTGTCAGGAAAGATAGGTTCCAGCAATCCAGGGACAGGGGTGCACACTCTACTAAGTTCAGGAAATTGTAGCAAAATTTCCTATTTTTTGAGTAAAAGGTTCATCTCTCCAGCAGATTGAGGAGAAAATGCCACTTTTTGTGGCTGTATTTCACCCACAACTGTGCAATTTGGCACTGTTGGTAGCTCTTCTGCCTCATTTGGAAGTTTACCAAAATTTCTTAGTTTTTCCAATCCAAGCTGGTTAGTAGGAAGGCTGCAGAAGAATCTAATTTTTGTGAAATAGGAAGTGTTGTTATGATCCTCTAACATCTGTGCATAACCCTGCAGAGAATCATCACTTGTTGACTGGTTGTATTGGCATATGCAATAGAAGTAAGGAAAATAATAATTAACTTAGAAGAAACTTGGTTGTGTTATATTAGCTTTCTGGTTATGTTGATTTTTTAATCAAAATGCTATATAAGATGGTATCAGATAATGTTTAACTTGAAAGGAGCTTGTGTTAATTTTCACTTGGGTAATTTTTTTTCTTTTTAATGTAAGATGAGGGTTTTGATACACTGTTGTCTTTGCATCTTTGAGGATCTTGTCTGATCTTTTGGGGAGCAGTCAGCTCTAAACTATTTCTTCTGAATTTACTCTCACGTTATGCAGGATGCCTCTAAAATCTGCTTGTCAGGAAAATAAACATTTCTTTTCCTTGCAGGGAACCAGCTCTCTGACATTCCTCAGCTGATCACTTTTCTTACCTAAGGAAGGATTGGCTCTCACGTGACAAATGAGTAAAATTCTCCATTCTCAGCTGGGAGTCTGAAAAGATGAAGCGAAGGAGGAGTTCCAGGACCCCAGAAGAGCCTCTGCACAATCACCATAAAAGCCAAACTGATCTCTCTGCCTGGCGAAAAGGAGGGAGAATTGACTCTGAAAAAAGTTTGCAGAATAATCAATCTGCTAATGATCAGAAATATGATAGCCAGGAAGGGTCTCTAGAGCAAGCTTTGAGCTACTTTGAGAAAGGTGAGAGAATTTTTCGGGTGCCTATCTAGGATTGAGAAGATGATAAATTTTTAATTTAAAAAATTATATCTGTTTTCTCTCTTTAGTGCCTGAGCTATGTATTATTTCTTTAATGTCTTAGAAGTTTTGTGTTACTACTATGTAAAAAAAAAGGAATAGCATAGAATGGTTTGGATTGGAAGGACCAAACCCCCCTGCCATGGGCAGGGACACCCTCCAGTAGATCAAGTTGCTCAGGGCCCCATCCAGCCTGGCCTTGAACACTTTCAGGGATGGGGCAGCCACAGCTTCTCTGGAAAACCTAAGCCAGGGCCTCACCACCCTCACAATAAACAATTTTATCCCAATATCCCATCTGAACCTCCTTCAGTTTGAAGCCATTCCTTTTGTCCTGTCACTACGTGCTCTTGTAAGAAGTTTCTCTACATATTTCTTGTTATGATATTAATAATTTTAGAATAATTTCACTTCTCTTTTCCCTCTTTATCCCCTGAGCTATGTAATGTTTCTTTAATGTCTTAGAAGTTTTTCTTTTTACTTTGTTACTATGTCAAGAAAAAGGAGTATGTGCAGGGACAGTTCAGAGAAGCTTTAAGTTAATTTCTGTTCAGAAGTTGTTTCATCCTGTGCTTGTCCTGTTTGTTTTTCCTAGTTCAAGACTGTGTTGCACTGAAGAAGAAGAATGTTGTGCAGAAACACTTGGATGCTGTGGAAAGCACTGGCCTGAAACAAGGGCTGCCCCCTGAAGGGTTTGAGATACTGCTCAGCGTGGTGCTCAGTGGCAAATTTGGTACAGCATTTCTATACTGCTGGTGTATCTTCTGTGAATGTGCCTTTCCCCTCTAATCAAACCTGCTGAGATAATGTGTTTATGGTACTGTAGCATGAAATTAATTTTTCTGTCATGATTTGGTGTAATTTCCATTTTCTTTTGTTAAGCTGAAATGAATTATTTGTCATAATTTTGAGGTATAGGTAAGTCCTTACTAAATTCGTATACACCATTACTGTGAGCAAGGAAGCTCTAAATAATTTTGTGCAGAGGGAATTTTGACTTAAGCTGCAAAAGAATAATGAAGAACCTGGTACATGAGCACTATCTTACTTGAAATTGGTTTTTTTTCTCAGCTGATACAGTGAATACTCGTTTATTGAAGAGCCTGATTCCTGCCTCAGTGGTACCAGAAAGTTCTGTGGTTACAGCTGTGTCTTGGCTCTGTGTCAGCAAATGCTCAGGCAGCACTCAGGTAACTTAATAAGTGTTCACAGTAGTTATTGCTTCTGCACAGGAACCATAAGAACAGGTTATTTTGAGGAATCAAAAATCCTGATGTTTTATTGTACAAGGTCTTACCCAAGATACTGTCATTTACCAAGACTGGCAGAGATGCCCATTGCTAGAATGGCAATGGGAACCAAGAAACAAATTAAGTTTCTGTGGAGATTTGGTTCCTGCTTGTCTTGTATCTTTGAACTCCTCAGGAATGGTGTCTCCAACACTTCTGTGAAATACTTCTGCTCTGTGAGGCAGCCTTTAGTTTCAGTGAAGTATCCCTTAGGTTATGTGCACCTTGGTTGTGGCAACATGACTTTAACGTTAGGAAAGAGTCTTTTTTATGTTCACATGGCCTGCTCAAAGGTTTATGTGGTAGAATCATTTAGATGGGCAAAGATGAAGACCACAGAACCCAACCATTAACCTAATGCTGCCAAGCCAACCTTGTCCCAAGAGCCACAGCTGCACATCTTTTAAATCCCTCCAGGGATGGTGCTTCAACCACTTCCTTAGCAGTGTGTTCCAGTGCTTGACAACCCTTTTGTGATGAAATTTCCAATCTCAACTTCCTGTGCAGAACTGGTTGTTTGTTTCTTCTTGACCTACCACTTTTGTACTTGGGAAAAGAGCCAGCCCCTGCCTCACTTCAGCCTTCTTTCAGGGAGTTGTAAAGAGTGAGAAGTCCCCCTCAAGCCTCCTTTTCTCCAGGCTGAGCCCACATGTGCCCTATTTATTGGATTCCCTCTCTCCCAATCACCACTGATGCACAAAAAGGGTCCCATGGTTCTAGAAACCAAAACCCAGATTCCAACAGCAGTGATGGGGCCAGTTGTTTACTGGTGAATCCCTTGGCAGACTTTGTTCATCTGAATACCCCTGAACTGTTTGTCTGTAGCTCCCTGGTTATCCTTGAGAATGGTGTGTATCCTTACTGATTGTGTCTCTGGAGCTGGCTCCTGATTCCCCTGCCTGCCTTTTGCCCATCACTTAATGTAATCTGGGTTTTTTTTCCTGTCTGCAGCTGCTTTTTTTAAAGTGGTTGATCACAGTGTTTGACTTCATTGATCACAAGGAACAGATTCATGCCCTCTATGGTTTCTTCTTCTCCTTCCTGCAAGATGAGAATTTGGTAAGGAGAGCTGAAGAACATATGGAAGTGATAAAATAAACCTAAATGTTCATTAGTAATATACATATTAATGCTAGAATTAGTCTGGAGTAGGTGTTGGTTAGAGACCATTTTCTGATGGCTGGGTTTCTTTATTTATTTTCTCTTTGCATTATAAGATTGCTGTGATCTGTCTGCTTAAACATGTTTCCAAGAACTGCTACGCTGTATCACAGAGAGTGTGACCGTTTTTTCTGTCTAAATTCCCAAGAGTAACAGTGCTCTCTGGGAGTGTCAGACATCAGCAGGTAGTCTCCTGCTCTTGGGCAGAAACTGACCTCGATACCTCAGGCAAAAAGTAAAGAAAAGGAAAAAAAATTAGTGCAGTGTTTATTTAAGGTGAAAAACTAATTGCTGTTCTACTTAATTAATTTGAAATATAGCTTAAAACAGAACAAGCATTCAGGCAATTTCTGCCATATGGCAACTGTAAAATCCAGGAATTTTAAAGTGTTTGGATTCAGTGCATAATAAGATAATCTTGGCAGTCATGTTAGGTATGCAATTGTTAATATTCTTTCACTTTATGATATTTTATGGTTAAAACAAGTTCCCAAAATTCTGAGTTATACTTCTTGTAATGTTTTTAATGGTTTTAGATTAACTTAATTTATAATCTTTCCATAAAACTGGGTTTAAGTTCTTAATGTTTGAAATAGCTTTTTCAGACACGACGGGTCAGTTGGAAAGTGCATCAGAGTTGGTTTGAAACTAATTTAAGGCTCTTTAGAGCCTCAACTGAAGTTAAAAGCTCTAAAAAAGTATATTGGTTCAAAGGTGCCTTTCCTTTTGAAAATGCAATTGCACTTTCACTGCTGACTCTTGTAATTTCTAGACCATATTCCAAAAAAAAAAAAGAAAAAGTTAATTAAACAGCTTGGTTACTGTCAGGACTGCTCACAGTGCAGATGAAGTTCTAAATGGAGTTGCTGTGTGGGGCTCTCTGTGTGTGTCCTGGCTGTGTGTCTGCAGCAGCAGGAGAGCTCATGGCTGCCCTTGCTTTGCAGTGCCCCTACATCTGCCACCTGCTCTACCTGCTGACCAGGAAGGAAAATGGTGAGTCTCATCTGTGTGAGCTGAAATACCATTTTATTTCTGATTCTGTTTGCTGGTGCTGCCTGTTCTTCCAGTGCAGCTGATGCAATGATTAGCCAATATTGTGCTTTTAATGCAAGGAAGAATGAGTGGTAGTTCAGGCAAAGCTTTGTGTAACACTTGCTGAATTGGAAACTTCTCTATTACCCTAGAAATAAGAATTATTGGTTCTGCTTGCTTTGTCATGATTTTATAATAAAAATGTTACTTATATAACTTTTGCTTAGATGTCTAATATGGTATTTTTAAAATCCTTTCTATTCCTAATTGTATTTCCAGTCAAGCCTTTTCGGATTAGGATACTGCTTGACCTCCAAGCAAAAATGGTGAGTTTATTTCAGATCTTGTAGAGTTTGAACTGTGGTTAATAATGTGCTTTGTAAGACACAATGGAGAAATGTGGCTTGGACTTGGAATTGTAGGTTTTACTCTTTGTAGCATTAAAGTTTCTCTCTTGCACGTGCATTCCTAATTTTCATGTGTGTTTTGTGAGCACATGCAGTGATACATGCAAAGCTCAATGTTTTGTGACCAGGTAAGGTGAAATCTCTGAAGCAAGGGACAGCTTCATTTATCTATTACAGTCTTTAATTTTCTGTTCATCTTCCTTTTTCAAGTAGTACCAAAAATGACTGAAAAATGTAGGATTGTAGAGGACCTTGATTTTTTTTTTTCTTAAGGAAAAAACCATTGCTATAATAACATGTTTTTAGACAGCAGAAGTCTATGTTTTATCACTTTGATTGTTAAATTTCTTTCTGTCAGTTACGACTACAGAAAGGTCTTCAGTCCTCTTGCTATTGTTATTTCATTGACCAGTTTCTGTTGTTTCTGTCAGTTTAAGTTGTTTATCTATGGTTACTTGATCGTGTGTAGCTCTAGGAATTTAGCTTTTACTGATCACTGGGCTTTTCTACTTCTAAAATACAGCATTCAGTTTCTATATTAAAAACATACCTCACACGTTTTCCCTCTTGTTCTGTTATTTTACAGGGAATGCAGTCTCATCTGCAAGCTCTGCTATCACTTTACAAACTTTTCTGCCCAGAACAGGTGACCATAACCCTTCCTGGGAAAATGAAGGTAAGGAATTAGATCTAGTCAGTTCAATACCATGATTTACTACAGTATTTGTATGGAGCTTTCTATTCAAGCTATAGCAGATTTACTGGTGAAAATTAATTCTATTTCCTCTTTTCACTGAGTAAAATCAGGTTTAGATGAGGATTTTTTGCCTTGTGTTTTGTTTCCTCTCCAGCATAATGAGATGATTTGGTAAGGAATGACATCTACCTTTATTTTATGAGGATTACTTTAATCCTTCTTTTGGTGTTCCTGCTGGGTTTGACTTGTTTCACACAATATTAATTTCTGAAGGAAACAAACTGTCTAATTTGTCAAGGTATTGTTCTAATTGCTGCCATGCTCAAGTAAAAATGACAGTGGAAGTCAGTAAGTAGCTCTGCACTTGGAAAGTCTGTGTCATAGGAGAGAGAAAAAAGGAGGTAAAAATGTAGGAAACTGATTTGTCAGAGCTGCAAGGAACAGCAAAAAATTACTCCCCTTTTAGAGAGGCCTGTGTGCTCAGCCCTTTGACCAAGTAGAAACATGTAGCAGAACCAGATCTATAAGAGAAAACAGCAGCTGGGAAGACCTAAATTGTGCAACAAAAATTTATTTCAGTGGGATAGACTTAAAATTTGAGATTTTTGTTGTTTTTTAATAGAACAGACATTTAATTTATATGCAGGCAAGTTGATTTTCAATAAAATTTATTTCAGTCTGCTTGTGTATTTATATTGTTCTCTAAATTTTTACTTTGCTTTGTGCTGCACAGTCGTCTGTTGGAGAATTTACATTTTTTAGCACACACATTTACATTTACATTTTACATTTACATTTTTTAGAAGTGCAGTAAATTACTAGCAACTAGATCCCAAATATTTCAAGTATCTTTATGAACACACTGTATTGTGTGCTAAAAGCTTAATTAACTAGTCCAAGCCAATCTAAATACTTTTGTGATCGTTTGGCACTTGATTAGAATTTAAAGACTGATTGATTGGCATTGAAATGTCAAAAAAAGTGCAGAAAAGTGTTAGCTTTTCCAATTTTCTGTAGTAATATCTACAATAACTTGAGTATTTAGTTACTCATGGCATTGTTCTGTTATGTAGGTGTCACTGATGCTGAATTCAGGAAATTTTTCTATTAACTGAGCATGTCATGTTTAATTTGAAGGTGTACTTGAGGGTTAATCCATGAGTTGATGATTGGTTTGAATTAAGATTATAAGATTGAAGTGTTGGAGATCCCTTCTGAAAAGGGGGATGTTGTTTCCAAAGGAAATAAAAGCTCAGCTGTTGAATTGTACACCAAAGGTGATGAAACTGAGGAATGATGAGAGTTCTGTGCTGTGAAAATCTGTCAAGTAGAGCTGAGTGTCTCTACATGACTGTGGTGGTGTTTATCAGAATAGAAAATGATCTTTTTGTTGCTTTGTCCCAGCTTGACTTCTTGCATGGATGTCTGATTTCTGTTTCCAGACTTACTTCAAGAACTCTGAAGGCCCATGGAAAGCAGCAATCACTGCAGTAAGGCAGAGAACCCAGGGAACCTCTCCCCTGTCCAAAGCAGTGTTTTTAGGCATATCTCAACCTCAGTCACGAAAAAGGGTATGTTAGGGGCCTGAGGCACATCCTAGAAGGTGCCAAGTAGTGGTTTTCATTATGAATATTGGCAAATAATGAGAGTCTGGCTTTATTTGGCACTGGAGAGGGGGGAGTAACTATAGAGAAATGCAGCAATCAATTATAATGAAAGCCTGGATACCTTTTTTATAAAACTGGGTCTTTCTGGGAACACTGTTCATGAGTGCAACCAGTTGCATTGGAAGCTGAGTCATTTGTTTCCTTTCTACAGAAATGGAATGCCCAGTTGGTTATACCTGCAAGCAGTGCAAACATAAATAATTTAGAAGAGGACAGAGAAAATAACTGTTTTTATTTGTACAGTACAAATGAGTCTTTTCCAGTGGAGCAGCGGCAGACCTTCCCTCAGCTCCTACAGAATATTCATCATCTAGAGGTGAGTTTCAGGAAGGTCTTGGTGAATGTTTTGGGAGATCAAAGGGTGTTCCTCTATGCCCTATTTGTATGTGAGTAGTGTGTGGGCTACCTAATTCTAACAGCATCCAGTCCTAACTGAGGATGGTGAATAAGTCCTGGGAATGGTCTTGTTGCTGGTAAAAAGATTGGACATGAGGTTCTCTGGCAGTTTAGTGATGTAAATACTGAATAATTCTTTATTTTCTTTTTTTCCTTGCAGTTTCCTTCCCAGATGGGTTCAGTGCTAACAAACCCCTTATTGCTTCACTACATGAATTGTGTGAAAGATGAATCTATTTACCTGAGGCTTTACTATTGGATGGGCCAGATGCTCCAGGAAGGTAAAAACTTCAGTATTATCTTGTGAGGTAGGGAGCTAAAGGATGTCTGAGGCTTTTCACTTTTCAGTAATGGTCCTTTGCTATTCAGATTTACAGTGATAACCATAGTGGTAAAACAGCTACTGGAGGAGAGCTGAATTTGGTTTCTCGTTGTGCTTGTTCTTGCTGTGCTCATATTCAAGTACAGTATTCTCTCCTGTTCAGAATGCACCTGGTGTGTGGTTGATAACCCATATGAAGAAGAATTCAAGAGCTTCCTGGAAACAATCTACAAGGCAGAATGTTTCTTGCAGGTAAGTGCATGTTTTGTGGAAGCCAAGGTTTTTACAAAGTCTTCCCTTAAAGAGCTTCTGGCACTTACATGTTTCCTGTAGTATTTCTGAGACAATGACTCCAGTAATAAAAATATCTTTACCTATAGCAAGTCAATATTCTGGAAATGGCCTTGGTTTCTGCAGGAAAAATAATCTAAGAATGATAATTTGAATGTCCTGGCAAGTATGGCAGGAAGGAGCTGTGAGCCTCTTGCTTTCTGTAGAGTGATGTGAGTGTGGCAAACTGCAGTCAGATGGCTTTTTGAATGTTTTTCTTCTGCTTTTCAGGATGGATTTTCTGCCTGTGAAGAGTTCCTGTATAAGACCCTTCCTCTCTGGGATGGCTTCTGCTGCCGCTCAGAAATCCTCAGGCTTGTGACTTGGATCCCCCTCAGCAGTTTCTCTGGTACGTGCCTCAGATCCTTTGGGTGAGCTTGCACAGTGGGATATCTCAGGGCATAGAATTTGTGCACTGATATCATACTGCTTTCTCATTTTTTTCAGACATTAAGTCATATCTCTATGATCCCCTGGCACAGCTCTTTTTCACATCATCTATTTACTTTAAGGTAATTTAATCAATTACATCGAATCCAATGACTGTATTCACTAAACATCTAGGTGATACTGCTATCTGTACTTGTGTTAGGTGTAGCAGGCTGAGGGATTCCATAAGAAATATTTTTGAGAAGTCTGTGCCCAAACAGAATAAAATATATACTTACAGTTTAACTTCCTTAGGAAATAGGTGCTTTAAGATATCTTCCTTTTTTGAGTGGAATTAAGCTGGGTCACTGGAGATAAAAACAACTGATAGCGCACAACGCAATAGTTAATTTGTTTTATTGCAGTTTTAACTATTTGTTTAAACTGTTTTATTGCAGTTTTTTCAGAACTTGAAGTTCACATTTTCCAGGAAAGGCTATATACAACACGTACATTCAGTTCTAGGGGCCATGCAGCTATGTCACTGTTCCTGAGAAACTCCTGGAACCTTTCCTTGGATATGCCATTTCTCAAAGCATTCTTTGTTTGAAATTATTCTCTTGCATAAATTGTCATCAACTTGATTTCTTTTTGCCTATTGCAGTGCAGTGTTCTTGAGAGCCTGAAGGAGCTGTTGCAGAACTGGTTAAACTGCAACGTGATTCAAACGGATTTGGAGTTTTCTTCTGTGTAAGTTTGTCTTTAAAGAATGCAAGCCATGTTCTGTGCATTGCTCACTGGTGTATTTAGATCTATATTCTAGCCCTAACACCCAGCTTAAAGACCAACCAGAAGGTTAATAATGCAGTTATGATTCTGCTATATTGTAAGCTACCTTGTCAGGCCTGTTCTTTTTCTTTAGAAGTATTTCTGCTGACACTGGAAATTGAGGTGTCCAGAATTCCAAATCCTCATAACACTGACAGCCGGGTGTTCATAATGGTGCTGATAACAATGTGTTACTGCCTGTATTGAAGAACAAGTGTCTGTTATTGAGTATTTGATGGGGCAAAAGCATAAATTTCAGTTTTGTTTTCCCATTTTCCATGTTGCTGTTTGCAAAGAGGTTTCTGTAATGTTGTGCCATGTCTTTGCTGCAGGAACACCACCCTCTCTGGACTAGTGAACGTGGTGGCTGAACTGGTTCACTTTGTGGGACGGATCTCTACTGTTGCACTGCGTTTGGAAAACAATTCCACACTCTTGCTCTACTTCATTCTGGATTTCTATGGGACTGTGTGTATCCCAGTGATTTTGTCTTTCTTTTCAAGTACTCCTAAGGCTGTTTGCGTTTTTAAGCTAAAGCATAAAGGCTTCTTCCTCATTCTAGTTTACAGAACTTTGTGATTAAATGCCAGAATATTCCACATACTTGGTAGATCTGCAGGTGAAAGCTGCTGTTGTTGCATCCACAGGCAGAAGTAAATGTGCCTCTAGAAAGCAGCTGCTCTGAATTCAGAGGTGAACTGAGGAAGGAGAAGTAACAGTAGGCCATAACCTGCTTTTTTTTAGTGCTGACTTAAAGAAAAGAACAGTGATTAGTTCAATGTCAAATAACATATCTTGGGTTTTTTCTTTAAATGGTTCCTTAAAAATGTGGTTTTTTTTTTTTTCTAGTTTGTGCTGTAGGCAAACTGAACAGCATCAAATAGCCTTAAGTATTCTCCAGCTTCCTCATGTCCTCTCTGTAGTTGTGCTTATTGTGAACTCCAGCATGCTGTAATAACAGCAATGGCTCCTACAATTCAGATTGGGAATAGCTGAAAAAAACAGTGACAGTTCTGGGATCTATTTGTAACTGAATTTGTCCAGTAAAAATGCACAGAAGTGATGGGCAATAACACTTGTGTAAGACACCCTGGCCTTCCCTTCTGGGTGGATCTGGCTGGAATTCAGTGTTGTGCTCTCTGTTGCCCTTACCCCCTTGGCAGTTTGTAATAATCATTACTTTGGCAGTAATAATCAGCCTGGATGTGTTTCATTTCTGCAGGTGTGTGACATATACCTGAAGTACAAGCTGCCTTTGCTGATAATGCCTCCTGCTGGGGTTTTCTACCCAGCACTGCTCAGCATGGATTCTGTCAACTTGAATCAGCTCTGCTACATTATGTACAGGTACTACAACAGGTGTAGGCTGCAGGGACTCCTTGTCTTCTCTTTCAGTCTTTTGGAAATGAAATGACTTTGTTGTAAAAACCTGGAATCTTCTTGCTGTGCAAGGTAAAGGTAAAAATTCCACTTGTGTCCAGCTTTCATGATGAAGGATTTTATAGCTGTAGTTCCTACTCTTTTTTTTCAGTCTGTTATCCAAGATAGCAGGATTCTGACCTTTTCATGGTATTATTTCCATATCTTTGATGAATGAAAGAAGTTGTTCCCCTATTGTTTTGAGGGAACTAAAGTCAGCCAGCCTGGATTAATGGTAGTAACTACACAACTTCTCACTCCTGTTCTTTGGCTACTACATTGAGCTTTTCCTTACAAATTCTGCCATGTGCTGAGTAGGAAGCACTTCTTCCACCTCCACACTCCAGGAATTTGGGACGGTCTCATGCAAGGCCAAAGACAGCACTGTTTGTTGCTCTGCAGGATCCACCACCAAGGCTGCACTTCTTGGCCTTGTTAGTTCCAGTGGCTGCATCTGAGGAGAAGAGTGGCCAATAGCTGACAGCTGGTGCAGGGCCCTCCATGTGGCTTTTTCTCTAAGGAATCTGCAGGGTAATTAACATGACAGGAAGGTCTCTAGGAAATAAGAAGAGCTAGTGCTTATTATATAGAACAACTGTCAAGTTGCATTACTTCCAGTGGCTTCTGTTTCTTTGCTTAGTGAATGAAAGTCTCCCTTCTTAAAAACACACTGCATTTCTCTGCTGATTTAAAGGCTGGATGTCCATTCTTGTGTGTTGCATTTATGAAGGTGACTGTCCCAGGCAAACTGGTTGTGTGTGAATAAGAGTAATACTAGTTATGTCCCTACTCTGTCCCTTTGAATTCTTTTTCATGTCTCTTTCACCAATAAAGTTTGATGATCTTTCTCATGGTGGAAATAAGTTTTCTTGATACATTCCTCCAGCTTTTTTTTCCACAAAGGCATGTAGTAAAAATTTATAGGCCCCTAACTCTCTCTATTTTGTTGGGGTTTTTTTCAGGTATCGAACCAACTTGGTGGCTGCAAAACAAAATGAGCTGAGTAAAAAGGTACTGTGGACACATCTGTTATGTGCTAGAACAGACTGTAGCAAGGAATTGGGTTGAGTGGAGAGGAGGTGTACTAATCTTTTAAGGACTGGAGGGAGCACACAGCTGCTTTGAGGATGTTATTTATTAATTTTTTCTTTTTCCCCCTCAGAAAATACTGCAGTTCAAGTTCAGTAACAAGACATATCAAGAGTACAACCAGTACATAGTAGCTATGGTGGGCTGTCTGTGGACATCCAGCGCATTCCAGAAGGATATTCATCCTCAAGGTCTTTGTATGGATGATAAACTGCTGAGTAAAACTGCAGTGAAGGAATTAAAAACCAGCTTTAACATTGTTTATCATCCAGCCATGATGGGCTACTCTGTTCAATTCCTGCAGCAGGTAATGGTCTAGGCCAAGATTTGGCTCCTTCATGGCACCAGATGTTCTGTCTTGACTGTTTCTGTGGAGAAGGGTCTCTGTGTCCTGGCTGACTGGTAGAGGCAACTGAGCTTTCAAAAGCTGCTGTGGCATTCTGTTTTTGTTAGATTCTTGGCACAATTTGAAGAGTCTTTCTTTGTGTGGTATGAGAGCAGTTGTATGTATGAATGTAGCAGTTTTGGATGTGAATTTGTACTCATGATAGTTTTAAGATGGAACTAAAATAGCAAATTAGTGAAATAAATGACACTTCAGTAAAAGCTTACCAAAGGTGCATTCTGCCCCACAAAATAGGCAGTGATCTAAATATTTAAACTCTAGAAAGTCAAGAATTGCATGGTTAAATTATATACAGCTGTTTGTGCTAGAATTTGTTAGCAGTACTTTTTGGCTCTTGGGGTAGCTTTTTTGGCTTACTAAAATAGAAATACCAGTAGCTGCTTCAGGTACAGAGGTAACATAACACAGAGCTGTCTTGCATTGTCTGGTGTGAGTTCTGCCAGGAGTTCCCTGGAACTCTGGGTGCCCTCATGTGTTCAGTGCAGCTCCTGAAGAGTGGGGAGAGCAGTTTGCCAGAGCTGTTATTGTCCCAAGATGTGTGTGCTGCTCCAAGAAACTAGGTTTTGTAGGCTGTCCAAGGGCTGCACAGAGATGCCAGTTTGTTGTGAGACACTCTGGCAGGCTCGAGGCAAGTGTAGGTGTGCAGCAAGGGGCACCTGAGCAGTTGAAGCAAAGAATTCTGGTTAGGAACACTTGACAAATTAGCCTTTGTTATGTGCTCAGTGTCCTGAATCAAGCTAATTTATGTCTTACTGCTGATTAAACTCAGATTTTGTCTTTGCTTAAGGAAGCTATTTTGGTTTTGTTAGACCAAGGAAAGAAGTTGTATACGTCTCATATCTTTTGTCCACATATTTTTTGTTCTGAGGCTTCCTAGAATCATGGAATATCCTGCAATGGAAGGGATCCACAAAAATCAAAAAGTCCAACTCCTGCCTCTGTAAAGGACAGCCTAAGAATCCCACCATGTGCCTGGGAGTGTTTTCCAGACACTTCTTGCATTTTTTCTGACTTGGTGCTGTCACCACTTTCCTGGGGAGCCTGTTCCAGTGCCCAGTGACCCTTGGTGGGAAGAACCTTTTCCTGATATCCAAACTAACTTTCCCTGACAAAGGTTCCTAATTCTTTATAAGTTTTGCACATTTAAAAAAACTCCAGACTACAAACCAACAACCATAACACAAAACAAAAAAACACCCAACCTCAAAATACCTTAAAAAAACCCCCAAACCTTCTGGTGGGGAATTCTACTCTTTCTACTGTAGAACCAGGAGAAATTTTACTTAGCAGCTATGACAAATGTGTTTTAAGGCAGGAGGAAATAATGTTGAGCTGCAGGGACACGTTTTCCTCAGCAGAGCTGAGCACCAGAGGGCAGTGCTCTGCAGCACTGGGGAAACAAGCACTGGTCTCAGTGCCACTTCTCTCCTCTTGCTCTTATTGTGAATTTCTGATGTTTAGAAAGGGAGACTTTTAGACTGCAGAGAGAGTAGTAAAGGTACCTGTGAATATTCCCTGTTGCTGTCCTGTAATGCTGCAGACAGGACAAGAGGGTCCAGATGTTACCTTGCCACTTATGCACAGGGTATGATGCTGGAAGCCCCCTCTGAAGCAGGATTAAAAATCTCAATTTCTTTGCATGCCTGCACTTCCTGATTTAGGAGAGGACTTACCAGAGACCCAGCAACCCTGGACATACTTTTTATCTGACTTGATATTGTTTTATTCCCTTTCCTTAAGATTTGTCCTGATGATACCACCTTCAACTTCAAATTCATTAAGGTAAGATTTCTTGTTTTAGTAAATAAAGCAGGCAATTTTCAACAGCTGTGTTGAAGAGGATGAGGTTATAATATTCACCAAAATCACAAATGCTCTAGAAAATTTTGGAAGGGGAAAAATTACAGCTGTAGTCTTTGGTTCAGTCTCTTAACTGAGGGGCCAAACAAGAGAGCATCAACACCTGAGAAGTTAAGTATCTGTGGCTAGTGATTTGAGGTTTTATGTATTCCCTTCATGAGTCAGTGCAGTGTCAGGACAGGGCTGTTTATTGCTCTCTGCAGGCTCCAGGAAAGTTTACATTCTTGATGCACTTAAAGTTCATTGTTAATACAAATTCTGCTTCATATTATATTTCTGAGGCAGATGTGTAGCTTTGTTACAGCTTTGAACAGGAATCCTCCACTGAGCAGATACAGTGGCAGTTGGTTTCCTTTCCTGTGCCACAGTGTACTCCAAACCTGATCTGGAGGAATCACCACTAGTGATGGAAGGAAGGCTTTAATAGCCATGTTCTTTTATTGCTGACATATTCCCTGTTGATCCAATAGACATTTCTTTTTTCTGGAAGTGGGGTTTATAAAAGCTTTCAGTATTAAAGAAAGATGATGATTCAGTCTAAGAATGTGTACTGTGTAATTGTGGGCATTTAGGAGCAGCAGGTGACTCTGTACCTGTGGGTGTTTACAGATGTCACCCAACAGGTGGATGTTGTCCCACAGGAAGGCAGAGCTTGCAGACCTTTCCAAATTGGCTTAAGCAAGGTAAAGCTTTGTTCTGCACATCTGACTCTTCTTTCTGGTTTACAGGGGAAAAAGTGGGACTGGTATCTGGAATATCTCTACACCCAAGGCTTGAAGGGGCTGAAGGTCTTTATTGAGAGCAGCATCAGTCGGGTTTCCCAGGCTTCTCACAGCAAAGCTGGGAATGTGGAAGCGTGACCTGGGGCTCACTGGAGTTCTTCTGTCATCTGGAGCAGATTTGCAGACTCTAAAGGACTGTGTCACTAATTCTTCCCTTCTCAGAGGAGAGAAACAGAGCATTGACTCTTACCTGCACTTTTTACTGACATCTCTCTAATGAAAGTGAAGATACAGATGCTGAGCTGCTTGGTTCACTAACACTGAGCCCCCTCTTGTCCCTGCTAAACTTCTCTGGTCTGAAGCTGGTGAGCTCTGTGTGATGTGACATCCACCTTTTTCATCCTGGTGTGTCTCTGTTGGAGTATCTGTTCTAATTGAGAAGCAAACATTTTCCATCTCAAAACTGCAGTGAACAGTGGTGCTTCATTTATAAGTAATGTTGACCCCTGCCCTGATTTGCCTTCCTCAGCAGCAGGTAATGAGAAACAACTTAATCAGCCTTTCAGGGGTGCTGTGTCTGTCTTGGATTGGAGCAATGTGAGTTTCCCAATTCCCTGTTGGGAAAGTCATACTCTGTATGACTTTTAACAGGCTGACCAAACTGATCTTCCTGAAGATGAATTAATTAATTTAATTAATTTTCATTTTGAGGCTTATGGAACAGTTTTTGTGTGAACTCTGATTATAATGATCTAGTACAGCTGGAAAGTTTGGTGTTCAGTTGATGATTTATTGGTGTGAGCACCTACACAGTGTTGCCACCAGCTCACCACTTTCTATGTTGATAAGTGCAAATGTAACTTTCCTTTTTGTGATTTTAGCTCGGTAGGTGTTGTATATTATTTGAGTACATATGTATAATATATGTTCTGTAAAATATTTCTTATGTGTCATTTTGAAAAAACTCTTTTACAAAATGTATCTTCTCCTGTTGTTTCATTTTAAGTCTGAGTAGAAGCAGAGAGAAGCTGAACTGAGGTTTCCAAAATCTGAATGAACTTTATTTTTCTGCTGTGAAACAGAGTTGTAACCACTTGAGGGTTGGGTTAGATTATAGTGAATTTTGCATTGTGAATCTCTGCTTTGATTCAGGAAAGGAATCAGTCTTGAGAGCGACTCTGGAGCCACTCAAGATGTTTGCTTTCTTCATCCCCTCAAAATCAGACTGGTTGAGTACCAGGGTTCTCAGCTCAAGTACATTTGGTTAATGTCTAAAGTATTGCCCTTTCATCTGCGTTATCCCAAGTAGTGTAAGTGCTGCTTGCTAATTTTTGTCAAGAGAAACAGATCTCCAAAACCCTGATTCTATTTTTTCAACGGGAGAAACTCCACATATTAAAACTTCCTCCAAGTGGATATGTTTCAAGATGTGGCCCTAACATACAACGAGTATTATGATTTTTCTGTGAAGCTACCTTCAAAAAGGTGTTGGAAATATTATTTCCACTTATGCTGGAAAGGCTGTGTACATCTCAAAGAAGCAATAGCCAGGAAGACAAGGCTTGGTGCTGTTTGGAGTTTGTGCAAGGTGCATTCCTGTCAGACTGGAGGTGCTGCCAGAGGTTTCATTTCACTTGTGAAAGATGCCATGGCTCTTAAGAGTGTGTGTGATGTGTGTAAATGTATTTAAAGGGGCTTATAGCAGAATCCTCTAGGATATACTGAATGTTTCACAGTTACTGGTCCTGAGATCAGTTTTCCCTTGGGGTTGGTGTTTGGTTGAGGAAACACAGAATCATGTTATGGAAGACTTGCAGCACCACAGATCTTTGTTATACCCTGTGTTGTGAAAGTATTTAAGCAAACTGTGCACACTTTTGACATTCAAGCACACAGGCTGGGCACTTAGAAGTGCAGAACTACAGCAGCAGGACAGATAACTTGATTTTAATGTCAGGTTGTTTTTTATGGGTTGTTTGTTTTGTTGGATGGACAAGATGCCTGTTTAAAATCCTTCCCATGCAGCAAAAATGTGCCTGGTATTATTGGGCACCAGAGATGACTTTTAGCCTCTTATTGCTGTGGTAACTCTTGTCTTTTTTGACATTTGGATATTTTTCTTCTCTTTTTTTCCCCTCTAACTATCTGAGTAGTATTTCACTTGAGTGCAAGAATGGCCCTTTTAGGGAGGAATGTGCTACTGTACCTTTTTTATTTTCTTATCTTTTTTCCCCTGCTTGCTCTTTGCATTTGAATCATCACAGCAAATTTTGCAGACCGTTTTCTGTTAAAAGCATGTGCTCAAAGACTTGGCTGACCAAAGCTGCTCTGAGGACTAAAATGGACACAGTCAAGACCCATCCATTTCCTGGTAAGTGATAAATGAGTGATTTACCTCTCATGCCTATTTCTGCCCACTGTAAGGTAGGTGAACACTATGAAATTATAGCAGAAACAACTGTGCTGGGGTGTTATTATCACAAGGCTTCTGTAGGCTTTTGATTTAGGGGTTGTGTAATATCATAAACAGGCCATGCCAGTGGCCATTTCAGTTTAACTGCATCCTGTAGCATTGCTAGTAGCTTTTTATCTGATTTCAAAAAGTGAGGCCTCTCCCTTTGGAAAAATCTCTGAGTGGGTATTAAATAGGATTGCAAAGTACTGGGCCAGAACCCTGTCTGGGGTAAGCAGCCACAGCTCCACTAATTTCTAATGGATCTGTGTTGAGTTGCACCAGCTGAACATCTGGTCCCCAGTTCACACAACCTAAGCCATTAACCCCTCCCTGTCAGACACAGTGAGCATTATGCATCTGAAAATCCAAATGCCTTGGGCTAGAGTTAATCTGAATTATTCTTCTGAGGCCATGTTTGCTTTGTGTTTCTGTTCATCATTTTAATTTTGTGGTGGGAGACTTGTTTGTGCATCTTTATGCATCAGAGTCTACTGCCCTTTCAGAGAGAGCTTGCTCTGAAAGAGTTAATAATTTCAACCTGTTTTCAGCTGGAATGAAGAAACTGGTTCCTCTGTATCCCTGCTTTCTATTCTTTTGTTGGCCTACTTCCCTCTGCTTGCATTTTGCATTCCTAATGCCATGAATAAATCAGGACCCAAGGATTTAGAAGGTGGTACAGCTGTAACCACTCAGAAAATGGAATCTCTGAGGCTTGTACTGCAGCTCTAACAACTGCCAATGTGGGTGCTCCTGAACTCTTCTAATAACATTTAACTGCTACCAAAATAAAATTCACTTTGCCTTTTTTGATACAATCTTTGAGATTTTTGTGCCTCTACCCAGTGTCTCCTCACTTGGTTCCCTTTGTCTTTTAGGCAAAGCTCAGTTGTAAGGCCTCTGGGGCAGGGTAATCACCTCCTGGCTGCTGTGACAAAATGGCTTATCACAAATCTGTGCACAGTGGACACAGGAGCAGGGAAATCTGTGGGATCTGACCTGGCAAATGGCTCATTCTCTCCATAGAATCACAGCACAGTGAAACCCCTGCCTGGCTGTTGTCCTAGATCTTCTGATAACTTGTCATTAATAATACACACTGGGCTGATTTGTAGCTCCATGGCTCCTGAGAGAGTGTGTGAGGGAGCTCTTTTATGTGCTCTTTAGTCAGAGGATGCATCTAGTCTGGATGAAAAATAACAGAGATTGGTAAAAAGCTTGCTCTGGATGATGAATATCTTGAAAGAACAAAGTCTTCAAGTATTTTCTTCCAGGAAAGATGACTTTTGTTGCACCAGTGGGTTTCCCTCATGGCTATGCTTTTTAAAATGGAAGCAACAATTAGGTTCTGATGAAGGCTGGATGCCACCAAACCTTGCTTTTGACCAAGAATGCCTTTTATGTCCTTAGCATTTGGGCACAGGATTCCTGAGAGAACTGTATGTAGCTGTTAGACCTGTCCAAGTAATTATAGTTGGCAAGGGAGGTGTTGAAGTACACAAATAACATGCTGCAAGGTGTACGTGTACCTTGTGAGGATGCTTCTCTGCCTCTCAGCTTCCTGTCTTGTAGGAGTAAAAAGTCTGCATAACAGAGGGTAAGATTTTTTTTTTTTTTAATAAAGGCTTTAATCTCCAGGCTAGCTCTTGCACAAATGTAGAAACCAAAACAGTTGATCTTAAAAAAATACCAAAAAAAAACCCCTGCAGGTACCTACACAGGCTCTAAATACCATTTTAACCTTGACAGTGTTCAGAAATCTGTAGGCTGAGGCGTGATCCCATTCTGCAGCTGAATGAGTGAACAAGCATCAGACAAGCTGTGGTACCTGCCAGAAACATGACACAGGAGGGGCTGTTCCAGCACAGCCTCACTCATGGGATATTTAAGTCACTGTAACGTGGCTGAGCTCCTGAGCTTCAGGCACTGGGTTTAGGCTGCAAATTGCAGCAGATACTTTGAAAAATTTTATTCTCTGCCCAAATCCTTTGGGCTCTTCCTTTCAAGAATTAAGGGATAAGCTTCTGCTGTGAACATATATTTTTATGTGCAGCTGTGTCCCTGTGCAGCCTGCCTTGCTCTGCTCCAGTGTCTGTGCTGCCAGTGTGATCTCTGCAGGAAGAGGCTGCTCTCTGCAGCTTTCCTGCCAGCCCTCTCTCTCTCTCAAGTCTCTGGGCCTGTACCATCCCCATCATGGTTTGTTGTGCATGGATCACTAAGCAGTTTCCTTTCTCTTAGGGCACCTCTGCTCTGTGTCCAAGTGAATCTTCAGCATCTCCTGTGTGATTGCTTTCCTGCTCCTTTGAGTGCACGGCCCAGTAAATAAGGAGGGGGATGGAAAGCACATTGGAAATGTGTTGACAGCTTTTGAAGAACAAAACAGCCCCTGAAATCTGCCTTGTCTGCCTTACCCTCCTCTCCTGCATGCTTTTGCTTTCTTTTCTACCATTTTCTCTTTTCTTTCTCCATCTCTCCCCCCAAATTATTTTATACTCTTTTGATACCCTCTCCTCTTTCTTTTGGCACTTGCTGCTGTGAAAAGATTTCCTTCCTCCCTTATAGTCTCTATTTCTCATTTGGGGGGATTGTTTCAAGGCCTGTGTGGGAACAAATAAAAAGGGGGATTAATTCTGTTTGAGTGCATGGCTTGCATCAGTTCTCTGCACATTCTTCTCTCTCACCCCAG